TCTTTCGTTATTTAAAGATTTTTTAAATTTATTTTTATCAGAAAGGCAGATTTACAGAGAGAAGGAATACATAGAGAAAAATCTTCCATCCATTAGTTCACTCCCCAAGTGGCTGGAATGGCCAGAGCTGAGCCTATCTGAAGCCAGGAGCTTCTTCCAGGTCTCCCACAGGGGTGCAGGGTCCCAAGGCTTTGGGCCATCCTCTATTGCTTTCCCAGGTCGCATACAGGGATGCAAACTGGGATATGAACTGGTGCCTACATGGGATTCTGGCATGTTCAAGGCAAGGATTTAGCTTTTTGGCCACCGTGCTAGACCCTAATGTTCATTTCTTCATGAATGTAAGGGTGGTGTGCTGTCAGAGCTGTCCTGAGGGAACTCCTGCTGGGATCATTTGTGTTTGCTGTCATTGTGTTGGACATGTGCTTCCCTGAATATTCAACTCAGTGAATACTTTGGAGTTGAGTTACTGTTTCATAAAGCAGACATTCCAGTAACATCAGCAGGCACTGTCAGACTTCTGATACTAGAGAGATGTCATTTTCTTTTCTTTTGATGTTTTTTTTTGTAATGAGTAACCCAAATGTCATCCTGTTGTCATTCCCCTGAATGGAATAAACCTATTTTCCCTCTGGCTACATTAGCAATTTCCTCTTTAGTTTTTATTAAAGATTTATTTTATTTTTATTGGAAAGGTGGACATACAGAGAGGAGAGACAGAGAGGAAGATCTTCTGTCCGATGATTCATTCCCCAAGTGAGTGCAATGGCCAATGCTATGCCGAAGCCAGGAGCCTCTTCTGGGTCTCCCATGCGGGTGCAGGGTCCCAAAGCCTTGGGCTGTCCTCGACTGCTTTCCCAGGCCACAGGCAGGGAGCTGGATGGGAAGCGGGGCTGCCGGGATTAGAACCGGCGCCCATATGGGATCCCGGGTGTGCAAGGCGAGGACCTTACCCACTGCGCCATCGCGCCGGGCACTAGTTTTGTTTTTTAGCACTTCTCTCATTCCTAGCTCATGATTAGTATTGTGTTTTTCCTGTTGGAGACTTGTTGCACCTTTGAACCTCTGTTTCACAATTTTTATGAAATTTGCCAATTAAAAAAGCAAAATGAAATTTGTCCCAATTTGGATTGTTTCCCATGTCAGTGAAGTGATCCACATGCTTGAGCCTTTATCTGCTGCCTCCCAGGAAGTGCAGCAGCTGGTCGGATTCTAAGTGGAGCAGTTGGGGCTTTACATAGAACTTCAATGTGGGATGAAGGCTTGTTCCTTAACGCTGTTCCAAACACTGCGTCTCCTCTTCCTCCCCAACTTCATTCTTCTCCATGTGATTAACTTTCACAGTGACATTTGTTAAGAACATAACTCTTTCCTACTGAACTGTCTTATCAGAAACGTCGGTTATAAGTGTGAAGATTGGTTTCTGGACTGATATTTCTAGTCAGTGCAACTTACTGTGTTGATTAGTGTCCTTGCAATAAGTGTTGTAGGGGAATATGAATAATTGAACCCCTCACCCTTTTAAAAAAAAGTATTTTAAAGTTTATTCTTATTGGAATGTAGATTTGCAGAGAAAAGGAGAGACGGAGAGAAAGATCATATCCCTTGGTTCATCCCCAAATGGCCTTAGTGGCTGGAGCTGAGCCAATCCAAAGCCAGGAGCCAGGAACTAGAACCTACTTCTACATTTCCCATGTGGGTGCAGGTTTCCAAGGCTTTGGGACACCCTCTTTCTAATTTTTTAAATTTTTTGGCTCTCCTGGATCTCTTTCCATATTAATATTGTGCTCAGCTTGTAGCTCGGATTTTAATAGAGATTTCCTTGACCTAGTGAGTAAATTGAGCATTGCCCTCTTCATAACATTATGTTTTCTCATTCACGAGCTTTGATGGTATTCTGTTGCTTTGGAGCTTTCCTAATTTCTCTTACTCATGTTTTGTAGTTTTCATTATAGATGTCTTATACTTTATTTTGACACTTAATTGAATTATTTTCCTGCTTTATCTTTTCCATTCCTAATTTGTTTTCTTAGAAATAACATATGATTTTTGTAGATTGATCTTGTTTCTTGGAAGTCTGGTGGACTCTTTTGTTAGTCCCAGATTTTTCTGAATTTCTTAGCATTTTTGTAGATTATGTCATCTTAAGTAATTTTTCCCCATTTTATCTTACATTAAATGTTTGTACTTATATTAGGAAATTTAATAACTTTATATTTTCAAAGCTTAAACTGTTTATCATATAATCTGAAAAGAGTCATGTTTAAATTTTTAAGGTTTGACTGATTTGAAAGGCGTAGTGAGAGATGGAATGAAAAAGAGCAAGAAATCTTCCATCCTCTAGTTTGCTTCCTAATGGTTGTAACTGCTTGGTCTGGGTCAGCCTCCTCCTGGCCTCCCGTGTGGGTGGCAGGAGCCTCCGCTTTCCCCGGGACACCAACAGAGGGCTGGAACAGACACAGACGTGGATCGGTGCTCCTGTGCGGGATGGCTGCATTGCAGGCTGTGGCACCATTGGGTGTTCCAAACCGAGATCCCCTGTCTTAAATACTGTAAATCCTTCAGGAAACAGTTTGTCATCCTTGATGCTCAAGTGTCTTAAAAAAGATTTAATTGCTTATACGAAAGACAGTTATTGGGGGAGGGGTAGAGAGTGGGGGAATTGATTGGTCTTCATCTACTGGTTCATTCCTCAGATGACTGCAGACAGCTGAGGCCAGGCCAGGTGAGAACCATAGCCTGAACATCTTATTCTCCTACATGAGGTGCAGGGGCCCAAGCACTGGAGCCAGCTTCACTGCTTTCCCGGGTGTGTTACCTGGAAGCTGGGTTGGAAGTGTGGCAGCTGAAACATGAAGCATTGCCCACATGGAATAGTAGCTTAACACACTGGTGCCACAACACTGGCACCATGTCTTTTCCTTTAAGCTCAGTTGATCTCTTAAAAAATAATAATAATAAAGGCTTGGGCCCAGCGCACTAACCTAGCGGCTAAAGTCCTTATCTTGCATGCACTGGGATCCCATATGGGCACTGGTTCTAATCCTGGCTGCCCCACTTTCCATCCAGCTCCCTGCTTGCGGCTTGGGAAAGCAGTCAAGGATGGCCCAAAGCCTTGGGACCCTGCACCTACGTGGGAGACCTGGAAGAAGCTCCTGGCTTCTGGCTTCGGGTTGGTGCAGACCCAGCCATTGCAGCCACTTGGGGAATGAATCAGCAGACGGAAGATCTTCCTCTCTGTGTCTCCTCTTTGTATATCTGACTTTCCAATTTTAAAAAAAAGGGCTTAATTCATTTTTATTGGAAATGGAGATTTACAGAAAGAAGGATAGAAAAAGAAAGATCTCTGTCTGCTGGTTCATTCACTCCCCAAATTGCCGCAACATCTGGAGCTGTGCTGGGTTTCCCACATGGGTGCTTTTCTAGGGCATAAGCAGGGAGCTGGATGGGAAGTGGAGCAGCTGAGACAGGAACCAGCACTAATATTGGATTCCAGTGCTTGCAAGGGAGGATTAGCCAGTTAAGCCATCACAGCAGGCCTTTACAAATAAATAAATAAATAAATAAATAAATAAATAAATAAATAATAATAATTAAAAGTTTTTAAAGATTTACTAAAAGCCACAGCTACAGAGAGAGAAAAGGACAGGAAATCTTCCATCCATTGATTCACTCTCCCAAATAGCTGTTTCTGCTGGAGTTTGGCCTGTCTGAAGCCAGGAAACAGGAGCTTCCTGTGGGTCTTCCATGTGGTCGCAGGGGCCAAACACTTGGACAATTTTTGTTGGTTTTGGTTTTTTTGGACAGACCAGCACATCACTTGATTGGAAGTAGAGCAGTCTGAACTCTACCTGGCCCCCATATGGAATGCCAATACTGCAGGCTGTGGCTCCATCTGCTCTTCCATAGCACTCGCCCAATCTCTAAGATTTGTAGCCTATGTTATCAGTATATTTATTGGTGAAAACAGTTAAAAGGGATAATATTAAAAATTATTTTGATATCAAAATAGAAAAGGAATTTGCTGCCTTCTCTGCCTTCATTGCAGGCTCCTTTGAGCTTCCTCAAGTTAGTGTTTATATGAAAGAAGGAATAATGTGGTTGATACTGTAGTGTAGTGGGTTAGTCATTGTCTGTGAGGCTGATATCCCATATGGATTCCAGGTTATATCCTGCACTTAAGATTCAGCCCTTTGTCAGTAGCCTGGGAAAGCAGCAAAAGATGGTCCAAGTAACTGCGCTCCTGCACCCATCTGGAATACCCAGGTGACACTCCTAACTCCTCCCTTTGGCCTGACTCAGCTTCAGCCAAACACTGTGGCCATTTAGGGGTTGGGAAAGTGATCTCTCTCTCTTCTTCTGTTTCCTCTTTTTATTTCTTCTCTATCACTGTCTTTAAAGATTTGTTTTTTTGAGAGGCCAATTTCATAAGAGAGAAGGAAAGACTAAGGCAGCACCCTTCCATCCTCTCATTCATTCCCTAAATGGCTGGGACAGACAGAGATGAGTTGAACCTCTGGGAACTTCTGGGTTTTGCATGTGGGTGCAGGGGCCCAAGAACTTGAGCCATCCTCTGCTGCCTTTCTAGGCCACAAGTGGGAACTAAATCAGAATTGGAGCAGCCAGAATCCTAATCAGTTCCCATATGGGATGCCAGCACCAAAGGTAGAGGTTTAGCCTACTATGCCATGGCACTGGTCCTTTTCTCTCTCTCTCTTTCCAGTTCTGTGTTTCAGAAAAATAATGTTTTCAAGAAAGAATTGAATCATTATTACAGTCTCATTGATTTTATTTGTAATGATGGTTATGAGATTTGGTTCATATTATTTAGATGTTTCTGACATATTTAACAGATGTTGATTGAAGTACATCAGTTTTGATTGATATATTGATATTTTTGATTGATATTTTGATTGATCAATTTACTAAAGTTATTTCACGTTTAGCTTAACACTGATTTAAATTTTGTTTCTTTTTTTTCTTTTTTCGTCTCTTGCTAGATATAACTCGGAAAAGTCCCAGAACACCTCTTTCTGATCTTCAGGGCATGAATGCTCTAAATGAAAAGAACCAGCAGTAAGTGCTTTGATTTATGTTGTCAATGAATTGAAAAGAAGTGACTTGCTTTCTTATTGTTTGTGTGTCTTTAAAAATATGAAGAAGAGCTTGGTTTGGTTTTAATTTCTTAAAACTTTTGTAAATGAGAAAACAGAATAGCAAAACAAAACAAAAATCTTTTGTAAATGGCAAAATAACAATACATTAATTAACAAAACTTGCCTAAGATTGCTTTGGAGAAAATGACTATATTATTTGTGAGCCTTGTGTAATTTAATTTCTGAGACCTTGGATTTTATATCTTTTGTAAACCTGAAGTTTATATTCTGCTAATTTTTTGTGGCGCAATCTCCCGTGGTAGGAAATAATTAAGTATACATAATGATTTACATGAGAGTGTGTAATACCTTTTCTTGGTGAGTGTAAGCATCAGAGCTTACACCATTTTTAGTGAAATTTTTCTGAGTATAATTTGGAAGTAAGTAAAATTTTCATGCATGTCATTTATTAAGTGTTGTTTAGCAATTTCTAGAGTGTGGCCTAAATGTCATCACAGTTGAGTGTCTTAGTAACTACGCACCTGCTCTTCCAGTGCCTGATACGTGTTGTCACTTAGTTGCTCACTGCCTTTTCTGTGGCTCTGTTGCTCCTAAGAGTCTAAGTTCACTAGAGCCTTGTTCTAGATCTGCCAGATGCCACGGAGCTAGGCACGAATGTCTCCATCCCCAACAGACACGCTTGCCTGCTGTCCTTACAGTGTGTGTCCTTTGCTCTCGTATCAGTGATTCTTGGCTGATGATGCAGTCCGCCCTCATATTTGCATGCTAAGTTTTAGGATGCAAGAGCAACCTGGGTCATTGTGTCTTTCTCACTCCCTGTTCACATCATTATCACCATTGTTAGGAAACTGTAGCTTACGGAACTCATCTTCATGATTTAGAAAACAAAAATCTGTGCCCTGCCCAACAGGGCAAAGCAGTTGATTGATTAGAAACTTGCTAATTCCCAGTTTGTGTATTTATCTTTGTCTTTTCAATTGTGGTTACCTGAAAAGGTCTTTCTGAGTTTCTGTTTTTTAATGTGGTGGTTGGGGTACTCCAGTGTTGTAGCTTAGGATTGATTGATTGATTGGGTATGAGCTCACACAGTTACCTGGTTTTAAACCCTCATGGAATGATAAACTAATAATTGAAAGACATGTATTTCATTTCTGAAGACCATTTTACAGGGTATTAGATCACACCAGCTTTCTTTCCTTTCACATAATGAAGAGATAAGTGACACTGGTGACACTGGTGTAATGATACCAGGAAAAGGCTGCTGGCCATCTGCTTTTTTTTGTTTTTAAGATTTATTATTATTATTTTTATTATTGGAAAGGCAGATATACAGAGAGGAGAGACAGAGAGGAAGATCTTCCGTCCCATGATTCACTCCCCAAGTGAGCGCAACGGCCGATGCTATGCCGATCCGAAGCCAGGAGCCTCTTCCGGGTCTCCCATGTGGGTGCAGGTTCCCAAAGCTTTGGGCCATCCTCGACTGCTTTCCTGGACCACAAGCAGGGAGCTGGAAGGGAAGTGGAGCTGCCGGGATAGAACCGGCACCCATATGGGATCCTGGGCGTGCAAGGCGAGGACCTTAACCACTGCGCCACTGCGCCGGGCCCCCATCTGCTTTTAAAAAGATTTCCTTCTTTATTTGAAAAAGAGACAGAGAAAGAGATGACAGGACAGAGATCTTCATCTACTGGTTTGCTCCCAAAATGGCTCTGGTGGCTGGAGTTGGTCAGTCTGAAGCCAGGAGCTTCTGGGTTTCTCCACGTAGGCACAGGAGGCCCAAAGGCTTGCTCCGTTTTCCGCTGCTTTCCCTGGTAAATTAGGAGGAAACAGGTTCCAGAGTGGAACAGCTGGGACTTGAACTGGCTCCAAAGAGGGTGCTGGCACCACTGATGGCAGCCTTACCTGCTATGCCCTGGCACTGGCCCTTTGCTGGCAATCTTAACAAGAGTTGGTTAGAATTGTGTTTATTGGGTTGATGAATATATCTTATATGTTATTTTAGAGAAAATTGATTAGGAGTGAGGACAGAGTAGTATTTGTGAGTTCCAACTGAAATGTATAATGAGCTCCAGTATCATTCTTATGCCATTGCTATCTCCAGTCTTCCCAGTACTGTTTGTTAACAGATGGTTTTTTTCCCCTGGAAGCTTTGTGGCAGATTTCTGGAATTTAAGTTATCCATAAATTGAAATGCTTATTTCTGGATTGTGAATGTTGTTTTCATTGTTATGTGCGTCTTTTTTTTTTTAATTAAATGCATTGCATTATGTGACACAGTTTCATAGGCTCTGGGATTCCCCCAACCCCTCCTTGTGCCCTCCCCCCATGGTGGATTCCTCCACTTAGTTGCAGTATTATAGTTCAAGTTCAGTCAAGAGTCTTTCTTTGCAAACATATACCAAGCATAGAATTTAGCATGTTCTTGTCCAGATAAAAATTCAACAGTTACTTGGGGAGACCATCTCTGGTCTGAAGGTAGAACTGGCAGAATATCATCCTGATCAATTAAAAGCCCCAACATAACAACAACAACAATTTACAACATTATGGAGTTAATTGACATGGTATCGAGTGGCCAATGTGTTAGAAAATGCAAGTTCTTAACCATATCCTGTGACTACTTCATTGACATTTCAATTTTAGTTTATATACAGAACCGGCTGCTATATACCTTAAAATGTCTATAGGGTACTATACACCTGTCTCGTGACTATTTCCATTTTAGCATTCAGCAGTTTATAGTGTTGAAGCATAATTTTGCTGAACTTTCAGATTTTGGGATAGTCTGAACTGGCTTATAACTCTAACAAGGCATATGTCAACAGTTGAGGTTCAGAACAGTTTTAGGAGGGGTGTGCAGAGAAATCTTCAATACCTTAGTGAGGAGTAACTAATCTTTGTGTCCTACCTAGTAAGATATATTTGAATCCACACTGACTGTTTCCTGTTTGGTTCTAAGCTTTCCTTGTTGTTTTCTCTCTATATATTCTAGCTTTTTTTGTTTGCTTTTTTGGGGGGGGGCGGGGAAGGGGAGATGATCCAGAGCGACCCTGATGGTCATTGCAAGACAGGGTTGGGAGCCAAAGTTGGAACTAAGTAAGGACCAGTGCAAGCTCCTCTCCCTAGTCCCGAAGGAAATTTATTGTTCTTCTGTTTCTGCAGCCTGCTCAGGGCTCCTGGCTGTTGTTCCAATGACCTTGGATCCTGCAAGGAAGGATTTGGGCTTCTTCCATCCCATGTGGTAGATCCAAATGGGGGTGGGTGACCTCAGAGTCCTCAGCCTCTGAAGGCACTCCAATTCCCTGTGGTCTCCTAGGCAGTTGGGAAGTAGTCCTTGGTGCCCGTGCTGATAGTCCTTGGTGAGGATCCAGGAGTCTCCAGGGTTGGGATACGAGCCTCCTCTTGTCCTCCTGCTCCACTCTCAGGTCCTCCCCTGCTCTGTACATATGACCTCCTGTTAAGAGGTTGTCAGGATCGCTCCTGATTCCCCCTATATGTTTTTGTAGTTTAACTATTGTCTAATGCTGATTTGAGTCTGTTGTGTATGAGTTACTAGTTTTGATCATGGTAGGTTATATATTTCATGACTTCCTCACACCTTCTAAGGAGTTAAAGATCCAAGGAGAGACTGCGATTTTGTCCTGATATACGCTTGTGTTTTTGTGGATGTTGGTATCTGTTTAATTGTATTTCCCTGCGTGGACTTTAGTGGGGAGGTCTTCCCATTTGCCATCTTTGTTTATGGTTTGCTTTTTTCTGGGATTAGCACATTTCTAAGGAGATTTTATAGAGCTGGTTTTGTGCTGGCATACTCTTCTACTTTCTCCTTGCTATGGAAGTATCTAATTTCATTCTCCAATACAAATGAGATCTTTGCTGGGTACATTATTCTTGGTTGACAGTTGTTTTGTTTCAGGATTTGAAAGATTTTATTCCATTCTCTCCTTGCTTGGAACGTTTTTTGTGAGCAGTCAGCAGTGATCCTGATTGGTTTTCCTCTAAGTGTAAGCTTGTCTATGCTTCGTGCTACTCTCAGGATTCTTTCCTTGTATTCATTTGAGGGGAGCTTGAGCACAACATGTCTGGGTGAGGATCTCTTGGGGTCGAATATGTTGGGAGTTCTTTGTCTTTCCTGGATTTGGGCTGGATTCATGTTCCAAGTGTTTTGGAAGCTCTGCTGTGTAATTTCATTGAGCACTTGTTGCATACCTCTCTGTCCACTCCTTCAGGAAGGCCTATAATTCTGATATTTGACTTCTTGATGTTGCCTTTCATTTCCTGTATGGCCTTATTAGCCTTGTTCAAATGTTTCTCTAGCTGATTGATAATCTGCCTGCTTTCATTATGGGAGTCTTCCAGTTCAGAGATTCTGTCTTCTGCTGCATTAATTCTGTTGGATAGGCTCTCGACTCTGTGCTTCAGGTCAAGGATCTCATTTTTGACTAATTTTGTTTCTATGATCATCTGAGTTTTTGAATTCCTTGAGCTCCCTCCCATCGTTTTTCATTTTCTCTGAAGAGTTTTATAATTATTTTTCTGAATTTCTTTTCTGATAGTTCGTCAGTTTCTTTATCTGTCTTCTCTGCAATTGACCAGTCCTTCTGGTGACTTTTTGGGGTGGCACTGGCTCCTTCCTATGACTCATTTCTTTTTCTGTGACCTTGCCCCATGTCTTTGTGATTTCCCATATTGCTTGTTTCTAACCCTTGACCTCTGCTGCCACCTAGTGGGTGACCTGAGCTCTTGCTGACCTAGATTTTTTTTTCCTTCTTTGTGGCGCCTGGGATTTCTACTTGTTCAGTAGCACAACTCTGTGGTCTTGTGGGCTCTTCCAACCAGGGCTATATTTACAGTAGCTACTAGGTCTCCTCTCTGTGGGGTTCTTGTGGCCTTGGGATTGGTGCAGCCCAGTGCAGGGGAGTTCCAGTTCCCAGGTTTGCCCAGGCTCTTTGTTTCTGTGCATAGTCACCCTCTCTGGCCTGTCTGCCCAGATCCAAGCCTGGCTTGAACTGCTGTGTGCACCCTTCACCACGTTTTGTTCCCATGATCAGTTCAGGCACTCTTTACCACGTTTTGTTTCTGAGATCCGCCTGCCCCTCACCTCCTGCTAAGGACAGACACTTCCCTGTGGTAGGGACTTAGTGAGGTTTGCTCCCCAAATTTCACTCACCACATTTCACTCTGAGTCTCCGCAGCCCCGGGGCGCCCTCCTTGACCCTCTCAGGTTGCCAATCCCAGTCTTACGGGACTGTTTCACTGCTGCGTGCCACCTTTCTCAGTCCTGGCAGCACTGGGGCATTTTCCACAGTGTTCCCTGCAGATCTTTTCCTTTTGGGCTCACTTCAGTCTGCTCTTGTCCCTAACTTTTAGGACCCCAGGTCACATCGGTTTACCTCCATCGGACATGTTGACTCTTCTGTTCTGTGTGTCTTAACCAGATTGTGTTATGCTAATTACCAAAACTTTGAAGTAAGTCTACAAATTCCAGATGCTGTTCTTTCATCTTTTTTCTTTTTCAAAAGCATGTTAACTGTGTGGGCCATTGGCATTTCCATGTGTCTTGTAAGGTCAGCATATCAGCTTCTGCAGTGGAGGTGGCTGTCGTGCGGGCAGGTTTTGGTGAAGTCAGTGGATCAGCTGAAGGGACATTGCCATCTGAACAATAATGTGTATCCCCATTCCCAACATGGCCTATTTTGCTACTTGCTTAGATTTTGCATTAACAATTCATGTTTTTAAAAAATATTTATTTAATTGGAAAGGCAGATCTTTTACAGAGAAAGGAGAGATAGAATGTCTTCTCTCTGCTGGTTCACTCTCAAAATGGTCACAACAGCCAGAGTTGAGCTGATCCAAAGTTAGGAGCCAGGAGTTTCTTCTGGGTCTCCCACATGGGTACAGGATAGCAAGGACTCTGCTGCTTTCCCAGGTTGTAAATAGCAAGCTTGATCAGAAGTGGAGTGTTGGAACGTGAAGCCGTACCCGTGTGGATGCTGGCACCACAGTACAGAGGTGCAGAGGATGAGCTTGCTGTGTTATCACACTCCCTCCCATCCCAACAGTATTTTAAAGCTTTCTTTGCATAGCGTTTGCTATTTTTAGTTTGTTCCTATGTAGTATTTTATTTCTGTTATTACACATGAAAAAACTTTGCTTTTATGTTCAGATTGTTCATCAGCATTACACAAAATACAGTAATTATTTAGATTTATGTTAGTTTAAAGTCAGAGATAGAGCAAGAGGTGCAGAGAGAAATCCTGCATCTGTTGATTAACTCCCAGATGCCCACAACTGCCAGAACTGGGCCCTTCGGAAGCTGAGAGCCTGGAGCTTCTTCAGAGTCTCCTGTGTAGCGGCAGGGGTCCAAGGCCTTGGGCGGTCCACTGATGTTTTCCCAGGTTATTATGAGGGAAGTGGATTGGAAGTGGGCTCGATGGGTTACAGGTGGAAGATTAGCACAGCTGCACCACCATGCTGGCCCCAAGTCCCAGAACTTTCTGCATATTAGTTTGTCATATTGTGCGTGAATATGATTTCTTTCTAGCTGTGGGTGGAGGTTCCCAAGGTTTGGGCCATCACTCACTGCTTTCCCAGTACACAAGCAGGGAGCTGAATGGGGAGTGGAGCGGCTGGGAGACATCATTTAATGCCCATATGGGATCCTAGTGGTTGAAGTCAGGGAGGATTTGTTGGTTGAGCCATTTTGCCGGGCCCTCCTTGTTTGTCCCTTAATCTTCTGTTGCTGCTAAAACAAACAAACAAACAAACAAACTTAAACTCATCTTTAATTGCCTTTTGTCATATACCATACCTTCTCCCCATCAGGAAATCATATTAGTTCCACTCTAAAATGATACTTGTACTCTTATCATTGCTGACACTTGAACCACTAGAGATATTATCTCCTGTACGGATTATCGCAATAGCCTCTTAAAACAATCACCTTGGTGTTGTCCTTGACCTGATTAACTATATTTAATGCAGCAGCTAGAATAATTGTTTTAGAATGTAAAACTAATCATGTCAAAGTTGTGTGCAAATGTCTGTCATTTTCTCTCATTTCCCAGAGGCATTTGCACTAAAATTTTATTTTCCCGTCTCTGACTAGGCTTCCTACCCAGCTTTGCTGATTTACTGAATGTAATTCAGATTCTTCAACAGCATTCCTGTCTCAGGACTATGTGCCTGCCTGGAATTGCCTGCCTTTCTCCTTTCTTTCATGTTACTTTATTTGAAAGGCAGTGTTACAGAGAGAAGGAGAGACAAAGTGAACACTTCCTAAATGGCCACAATGGCCATAGCTAGGCCAATCTAAGAACCAGGAGCTTCTTCTGGGTCTCCCGTGAGAGTGAAGTGGCCCAAAGATTTTAGTGATCCTCTGCTATTTTTCCAGGCTGTAAGCAGGAAGCTGGATCAGAAGTAGAGCATCTGAGACTCCAAGTGAAACCCAGACGGTACTGGTGCCTCAGACAGAAGCTTAGCTTACTATGCCAGGAGCTGACTCCTGGGGTTGCTTGATTTGTTGCCCTGTCTCCTCATCACCTTTTATGTGGCTCCTGTTGGTCGAAGCTCCTTCACGGCCTGGAGCCTGGTGCTCTTTGTGCTCTTTCCTTGCTTTGCCTTAGCCTTGATGAACTGACATATTCATACTTACTGTGTGCCTGCTTCCTTACTGTAAGCCAAGCAATTGTAAAGATTTTGGTTTTTTAATGATTGATTTATTTTCATTGAAAAGGCAAATTGACGGAGGACAGAAAGATTTTCCATTCTCTGGTTTTCTCCTCAAATGCCCTCAATGGCTGGAGCTAAGTTGAGCCAAATGCAGGAGCCAGGAGCTGCTTCTGGGCCTCCCATATATGTGCAGGGTCCCAAAGATTTCCCAGGCCAGGGCAGAGTGCTGGATGGGGAGTGGAACAGCTGTAATATAGATTGGCACCCATATGTGTTGTTGGCACTTGCAAGTAGAGGATTAGCATGTTGAAACAAATGGCGCCAGGCCTAACTGTAAGGGTTTTTAAAAATTATTATTGTTTACTTAAAGATTTATTTTATTTTAGTTTTCAATTTTATTTGATTTTTTTTTTTATTGAAAAGTCAGATATACAGAGAGGAGAGACAGAGAGGAAGGTCTTCCGTCCGATGATTCACTCCCTAAGTGAGCGCAACGGGCGATGCTATGCCAGGAGCCAGGAGCCTCTTCCGGGTCTCCCACGCGGGTGCAGGGTCCCAAAGCTTTGGGCCGTCCTTGACTGCTTTCCCGGGCCACAGGCAGGGAGCTGGAAGGGAAGCGGGGCTGCCGGGATTAGAACCGGCGCCCATATGGGATCCTGGGTGTGCAAGGCGAGAACCTTAACCACTTGTGCCACCGTGCCGGGCCCTGATTATTTTTTTTATTGGAAAGGCCCTCCCAGGCTACAAGCAAGGAGCTGGATGGTAAGTGGAGCAGCCAGGACATGAACCGGCACCCACACAGGATCCTAGTGGATACAAAGCGAGGTCCCAGTTATTAGGCTATTGCATGCTTTTATTGTGAATGAATAACTGATTATAACTATTCTGAGAATGTAAATGTTGTGCTTTTTTATTTTTAAAATAAATTGCAGTGTTATTTATGGTAATGCTAAGAATGTAGAGACTGTTAGAGATACCCTCATCTACTAAGGCAAATTTTACTCTTGTGTTTACAGTGATACATTTGATATTCCCTGGAACGTCAGACCTGGGATTCGCCAGAGCAGACTGTCAAGTGCTTCCTTGCTTGATAAAGATGGAGTGTTTGCTAACTCAGCCAGCAGCAAGCTCCTGGAGAGAGCCCATGGGATTCTCACGTCAGTGTTATTCAGTAATGACGATTGTTTTTTAGTGTCTGCTTCCAGACTTTTGGCTGAAGAATTACAGAGGAGAAATGATGAGAAGTGTTATTGTAATGGCTGGACATTTGGTTTAGTCAGTACTTGGAGTTTTAAATCTTAGTATTCTTTTTCTTTACAATTGTGTTTTTCTTTTGGTACTGCTTGCCAAACAGATGGAAGAGTGACTGAAGCGTGGATGGGAGCATATGTAGCGGTGCAGTTGGTGCAGAACACTCACCGAACCCATTGTTCCTCACCCGCTGACCACAGCACTGCTGCAGCCTGTCTGCTTATCAGCAATGTTAACACAACTCAGACACACACACGCATGGGGTGCTGTTGAACTAGATTCTTTAATTCCTACATCCTTACTTAGTAGCACTATATAACTCAATTTACGTAGGCCAAGCAGAAATGTGCATTAACTCGTTGAGTCCTGACAATAAATCTGAGAAGGAAATGACACTATCCTCCTTGTTCTGCATTATCACACAGTGAAAGGACCATCAGACCATGGCTCTTGATAGACTGGAGATTCTCACCTATGTCCTTTTTTTTTTTTTTAAAAGATTGATTTATTTCTATTGGAAAGTCAGATATACAGAGAGGAGAGACAGAGAGGAAGATCTTCCGTCCGATGGTTCACTCCCCATGTGAGCGCAATGGCCGATGCTATGCCAATCCAAAGCCAGGAGCCAGGTGCTCTTCTGGGTCTCCCAGGCGGGTGCAGGGTCCCAAGGATTTGGGCCGTCCTCGACTGCTTTCCCAGGCCACAAGTAGGGAGCTGGATGGGAAGCAAGGCTGCTGGGATTAGAACCGGCGTCCATATGGGATCCTGGGCATGTGCAAGGCGAGGACTTTAATCATTATACTATTGTGCCGGGCCCTAGCCTATGTCCTTTTAACTTCCCAGCATTTATTTATAAGCACTAGGCTTTCTCTCCTGTCATTTATTTATTTATTTTCATTTCATTTTAAAAAGACAGAGATGTATCATCCACTGGCTCACTGTCGCTGTCCTTCCAACAGGAAGGGATTCAGTGATGACCAGGTGGAAGCCAGGAGCCAGTAGAGCGTTCTGGGTCACTTACGTGGACAACACGGACCCAGGTACCTGAGCCATCATCTGTTACCTCCCAGAATGTGCATTTGTAGGAAGGTGACTCAGAAACAGAGCCCAGATTTGACCTGTCAGCTGGGAGAGGGAATTGGGTATCCCAAGCAGTGTCGTAACTGCTGTGCCAAGTGTCTATTATCAGTACTAATTTTAAGTTACAATAACAGTTTAAAACAAAATTAAAAAGAGACTGGTTTAAGATTTGAATAAGAGGGCCCTGCGCAGTGGCCTAGCAGCTAAAGTCTTGGCCTTACATGCCCCGGATTCCCATGTGGGCGCTGGTTCTAATCCCGGCAACCCTACTTTCCATCCAGCTCCCTGCTTGTGGCCTGGGAAAGCAGTAGAGTAAAGCCCAAAGCCTCGGGACCCTGCACCCGCGTGGGAGACCTGGAGGAAGTTCCTGGCTTCTGGCTTTGGATCAGCACAGCTCCGGCTGTTGTGGCCACTTGGGGAGTGAATCATCGGACGGAAGATCTTCCTCTCTGTCTCTCCTTCTCTTTGTATATCTGACTTGGCAATAAAAATAAAATAACTCTTAAACAAAAAGATATGAATAAGAGACAATAAAAGAAAAATAATCTATATAAGAAAGCAGAGCCTGGGGCCAGTGTTGTATAAGTAATTTAGCTGCTGCTTAGGACACTGGTGTACTATGCCAGAATTCCTGTTTGGAGTCTTGACTTCTTTTATTCCCTTCTCTTTCTCTTCCTTTCTTTTCTTCCCTCATTCCTCCCTCCCTCTCTTTCTTCCTTCTTTCCTTTCTCAGATCAAAGTTGCAAACAGGAGCAGAGACATAGAGAAAGGTCTTCTATCTCCTGGTTTACCTCCCTAGGTGGCTGCAACAGCTGCAGCTGAACCAATCCAAAGCCAGGAGCCAGGAGCTTCTTCTGGCTCTTCCACAGGGGCTTAGAGTCCCAAGGCTTTGAGCCATCATCTACAGTTTTCTTAGGCTACAGGCAGGGATCTTGATGGGAAGTGGGGCAGCTGGGACATGATCTGGTGCCTGTGCAAAGCAAAGGTTTAGGCACTGAGCCATCATGCTGGACACTCAGCTCTGCTCGTGAGTTCAGCTTCCTGCTAGTGTATACGCTGGGGAGGCAGTCATGTCTGAAAACATGGATGAGAGGTCTATTTTTGCTTCTGTTTCTCTGTCTTTGAAATAAAATGAAAATTTAAGAGTAGAGCTCTAGTAACATGAAAGACAGTAGAGCTTTGGCTGAGGACATACACTATTGCTCAACATTAGGCTAAGATCTGCTCACACCTGTGGTACAAGGTAGGCTTCCTTCCCTTCTTCCTCCCAAGGATTGGTGGTTGAGGCAGAGTGTGTCACAGAGAGGACCTGCGTTCCTCGAAGCAGGCATGGGATACCTTGACGTGGCTACTTTCTAACGGGTGATTTCTCTCTGTAGGAGGAGCAGAAACCCCAAGCCCAAGCCTGTCCTTCCAAAGGTGAGTATGATGGGATGCCTTTTTCCTGTTAGTACTCTGCCGCATGAGAGGTTTCTTCTGTCGTGCAAACGACGTATATGAGTATAAAACAACACATGTTAGTTTAATCCTGGGTGAGAAGTCGTTGTGTGCACCTTCTGTTATGGAATAGTCAAGCTGAATAGTTCAGGTATGTATATTTGTGGTATACACAATTTCTCAGTTGATTCTCAGGCTTCAGCACGTAAGTCATTTTTTATTCAGTAATTAGCTCCTGATGGTTATATTGTGGAATTAACTTGCAGTTTGCCTGTTGCACTTTTTTTCTGTGTTGAGATCAGCACCCTAATTTAAATTTCCCCTTGTTATTTCAAGTACAGTTGTGTGCAGCTGTACATCTTTTTACAGGTGTTTGTGTTAGAGTAGCTCTAGTACTTCATTTTACTGACAATAAACAGGAGTCAGAATTATTTTATTGCAATCCTGTATGATTAGCACGGGCAGACGGTTAAGAAGTTTACTAGGCTCTGTACCTCATGTAATGTCTGCATTTTTGCTTCTGTGTGTTTTGGTTAGCTTTGTTTTCTTAATGTTCATATCATCTTTGTGATAGTAAAATCTGGAAGCAGCCCAGAGTATACCACCAGACAAGTGGATCATTAAGCAGTGGGATTGTCCATGCAGTATAATATTGAACTCACCAGGAAGAATAACCACTGTTGATTCATGGAATAGTCTCAATGAATTTTACAATGCACAAAAGATGCTCTTTATAGAATACTAGAAAAGATGGACAGTGACACAGAATAAAGAGGTGTTTGTAAACTATGTACAAGCATTTTCAGATGCTGTGTCCCCGAAGAATCAGTGTAGAGAAATTGATAACATGCGCTTGTGCACATTGTTTTCTATCTTCTGTCTTCCTTGCATCTTGGAGATCACAGACTATCAAGCAGGATTTCTCCCTGCTTCCTCCGCTGTGAATTCTCAAGTGGGCGTTTGTCCATGCAGAAGTTGTGGTCTTGGTTGTCCAGGTCTGATGAATCACTTTGAGCTGCTGTTTGCCTGCAGTGAAGAAGTGTGGTCTGGACTGGTGTAGGCTCTAGCCACAGGTCCTTTGCCTAGCTTCCTTGGTGCAGGCAGAGAGCACTCAGTGAGAGGGTGTGGTCTGGACTATGTAGGTTCTAGCCACAGGTCCTTTGCTTAGCTTCCTTGGTGCAGGCAGAGTGCGCTCAGCTTCACTCTGGGAACTGAAATGCACATTTAACACCTAGTTTGCATCAGAAGAAACTGGCTAACAGAACTTGCATCTTCTGAATTCTGAGATCCAGTAGAGCAGTTGGCAATTAGGAAAAACACCCAAGATTTTAAAAACACTGTAGGATCTCTCTCCAGACTGACTGATAAGATCCTTCTCCTAGAACTAGGGGTAGGCTATTGTCCTTATGTACAGAAATCAACCTAGAGAGGGAGAGAATCTAGAAAACGAGGAAACAGATGTGTCCCACAGAAATGAACCTGGTCATTGTCTAGGATGAAATGGAGTCATGTGACTTAGCTGCCAGCAAACTCTACAGTACAGGCCCTGAAACTGCTCACTGAGGTCAGTCAGGGGAGCCATCCATGAGTAAACATGGCATCTGGAGAGAGAAAAATGTATAAGGAAACTGGGGCTGGCATTGTGCCATAGTTGAGAAACGCCTATAATGCTGGCATCCCTTGTGGTTCCTCGATGCACCATTTCTGACCCAACTCCCTGCTAATGGCCCAGGAAAAGCAGCACATCACCCTGGTGTGTAGGCCGTTATTGCCCACTTTGGGGATGGGGAAGAAGCTCCTGGCTCCTGACCTCGTCCTGACCCAGTCCTGGCTGCTGTGGCCTTTGGACAGTGGATTAGCAGATGGAAGAGCTGTCTCTCCCTTTTCCCATTAACTTCAACTTGCAAACAAACAAATAAATCATAAAAAATGTATAAGTGAAGAAAAAGAAATTGTAAAACTAAAGAATTTACTAGCTGGACTGAGAAACCAAGTAAAGGTTTCCAGCAGCAGGTTAGAGCAAGCAGATAAATGGTTCCATGAACACAGCAGGTGCCTGAGGCACTCCAGCTGGGGGAGCAAAAAGGAAAATGAATGAGATGACTTGGGGAACTTTAAGAGACAGCATAAAGTAAAACAGCCTGTGTATTATTGGTCTTCTGAAGAGATAAGAGAGAGAGACAAATCATCTTGAAAGTAATAACAAAACTTTCCAAGGCTGAGGGAAAAGTAAGTAACCAAATCAGAGAAATGGCACTAAGTAGTTTAAACTTAGCGAGACCTGTGCTGAACACATTGCAGTCAGGCCGAAAGAGATCCTGAAAAAGCTGCCAGCTGTAAACACTAGACTTAGAACATGATTAAGTTTATGTGAAGTCTTTCTGGCATTAGCTTTTTTCAGTATAAGCTGGCTTTCTGGTTTGCTCCCACAAGCCGAAACACCAGACACGCGCAGGTTTCATTCCAGCAGAGAAGGTGGCCACAGGGACGGGAGCAGAGGCAGGAAGTGAGAGAGACATCTCCTGCTGTAGTGGCAGGTGAGGGCTCTAAGGGAAGAGGGAGAGAGGGGAACAGCAAGATGAAGGAGGGAAGCATGCATGCGGGAGTGTGCCTTTTTTTTTTTTGGCCAGCTTTTTTTTTTTTAAGATTTATTTTTATTGCTTTTTATTGGAAAGGCGGATATACAGAGAGGAGAGACAGAGAGGAAGATCTTCCGTCCGATGATTCACTCCGCAAGTGAGCCGCAACGGCCGATGCTAGCCGGTCCGAAGCCAGGAGCCTCTTCTAGGTCTCCCACGCGGGTGCAGGGTCCCAAAGCTTTGGGCCATCCTCGACTGCTTTCTCAGGCCACAGGCAGGGAGCTGGAAGGGAAGTGGGGCTGCGGGGATAGAACCGGCGCCCATATGGGATCCCGGGCGTGCAAGGCGAGGACCTTACCCACTTGCGCCACCGCGCCGGGCCCTTTTGCCAGTTTTTAAAACTGAAATATTTATAATCTAATTGTTGAAATCCTCCAGATGCACTGGGTGTGGCAACAGCTGCTCTCTTGAGTTCAGGCATTATTCCTTCATGGAATCCATGTCCCAGAAAGTGGGACTGTGCCTTTTTATGGTCGGGGTGGGCCTCACGGGGCTGTGAGGGATTGGGGTGGATGGGGCCGGGGGTGGGGAGTGGGCCTGAAGACCATGAGGGGTTTGTGGATAGGGAATACGGTGGGGTAGGGGAATGGGCGACAAGGGATTGGTGGATAGGACCAGGGTGGGCCATGAGGGGTTGGTGGATAGGACCAGGGTGGGCCACGAGGGGAGTGTCAGGGCATTGGTAGGTGTGGCGGTGGGTGACCTAGGGGGAGGGTCTACAAGGGATTGGTGGATAGGACCAGGGTGGGCTACGAGGGATTGGTGGATAGGACCAGGGTGGGCCATGAGGGGTTGGTGGATAGGACCAGGGTGGGCCATGAGGGATTGGTGATTAGGACCAGGGTGGGCCATGAGGGATTGGTGATTAGGACCAGGGTGGGCCATGAGGGATTGGTGATTAGGACCAGGGTGGGCCATGAGGGATTGGTGGATAGGACCAGGGTGGGCCATGAGGGATTGGTGGATCTACTGTTGGAGTGTCAGGGCATTGGTAGGTGTGGCGGTGGGTGAACTAGGGGGAGGGTCTACAAGGGATTGGTGGCTAGGGCTGTCAGGTGAGGTGTAATGAGATTACAGCGGGCTGCTGGGCAGAGGGTTGCAAGTTTACAGCGGTATTCATGGGCACAGGGTTACAAGTTTACAGCAGATTGGTGGACAACCAAATTCTAAGCTACAGGGTTCATGAATCTTAAGGAAGCTGAGACTTAGGGGAAGCAGATATTCAAAATAGTGCCGAGTCCAAGTGTCCAACAGTGCCGGTGTTCAAGTCCCTCTTCACAACTTTAGCCCCAGTGGAACTGCCTTTGTGATGGGCTCAAAGTTTGTCTTCCAGCAGAATGAAGAGAATGCTACCTAACAATGTGAGAGACATTTCCAATGTCAGATTCATTCACTGTAATCCTCTGCTGGCAGTTTGTAAAGCAGTTATAGCTATAGTACAAGGTATTACCGACAAAACAGTTTTCGAGGCCTGGCATGATAGCCTATTGGCTAAATCCTCGCCTTGCTTGACCTGTGGTCCCATATGGGTGCTCCAGTGTTCTGGCTGCTCTGCTTCCCATCCAGCTTCCTGCTTGTGGCTTGGGAAAGCAGTGGAGGATGGCCTAAAGGCTTGGGATCCTGCACCTGCGTGGGAGACCAGAAGAAGACCCTGGCTTCAGATTGGCTCAGCTCTGGTCATTGCAGCCACTTGGGGAGTGTACCAGCGGATGGAAAGTGGTTCTCTGTCTTTCCTTCTCTCTGTATATCTGCCTTTTAGAAATGAAACCGAATTTTCAATAAACTATAGCTAAGGTAGTTTGTTAAGAGACTTGGAAATATCGTAAGAAGGCCTGAAGAGCGTATAGACATGTTAGGGTGTATTTTTGGGGTGTCTTGCTGTAGTGCAGGAATGGCTGGCACTCTCTCAACCCCTTGTTGTTCACTCACCGCCTGGCTCTGCAAATCAGAACTGGTAGTTACCGGAGCTGGAGTGCCACCAGAAATGTCCTATATTCTGCCTGTCAACACTCCTAAAAGCTAATGCTTGAAGCTTGGACTGCAGAAGGTTAAAGTACCTTTGTGTGCCTTTTTGTCAGAACAACCAAACCAGCAGGCAGAGGCTCTTCTTCAGTTATTCCTTCCCAGTTGCACACGTGAAAACTGGATGTAGGAAGTCTTTCAGTTTTCTGGCATCTAGAGGAAGGCAGAAGGAGAGTAGAATGTATGTTGAATCTCAGTCTTCCATATTCATCACGGTTGTATAAAATAGTGTTTACAGGGTGAGGAAAGGAAAAATGACTGATTTGTTTTTCTTGTTCTTAGATTAATGTATGTGCAGAATTTATTTTTTCTCTTTGTTTTCAGCATTTGTTGGAGGTGAACTCTTTAAAGCACCTGACAAGCCTGACTCTACAGGATCGCATAACCAAGTCTCTGCTCCACTTGCACAAGAAGAAGAAACCTCCCAGCATCAGTGCCCAGTTTCAGGTTCTGTCCTGTTTTACTTGATGCCATATAGGAATCCATTTCACTGAAAGATGAAATTGATCTGTAAGGCATGTGGATAGAATATGATTCATATGACTAAAACCAGGTCTGCAAAGAAGACTTGGAAAGAAGCTAGCTATCTTTCTTTTCAATCTGTTATCCCTGAATAGTGGCTTTCCTGAAGAATGATTCATTATTCCCTTTGCAAGTGGAAAGGAGTTAGAAAATTGATAATTTAAGCAAAATCTTTTTTTTAATAAAAAGGTTTATTTGTTTTATTGGAAAGTCAGATATACAGAGAGAAGGAGAGAGCAAAATCTTCTCTTAATTTAAGCTGGCCAGATATAGTCAATGTCTGTAGTGATGTTAATTTTACGTACTTGAATCTTGTGCTGTTGCCATTCTTTGTGTGGAGTTTGCGTGTGTGTGTGTGTGTGTGTATGTGTGTGTGAATTTTACATAACCAAATAGTTTCCAGAATAACTTTTATGAAGGTCTTAAGAAAGTTCATAGGAAAAAAAGCATGTTATATGAAAACTGTTTGGCTTTCCAAAAAATTGTTGGACCAAAGCAAATTGCATTTTTCATGAATTTTTTCCAAGTGCTCTCATACTTTTCAGTGCTCCGCTTAGTCCAGGACATGTAGCCGGAAGCATCTGCTTCCATGTCATTGTATGTGATCCTGTTTTGTTTATAAGCACTGTTCTTCAACATGTGGGCTGATACTATTACTTCATTTTAGGTGATCCTCACCATACATCTACAGAAAAATTTGAATCTGTGAAGGCTGTGTGGTGACATACTTCACACACACACGCATGCATGCACACACTCTTTTTTTGTTTTAAAATAAATGCAAGAGCAAATAGCTGGCTAACCTACTTAGTAAGCTAAAAGGAAAGCCAGTTGAGTATGATGAAATTTTGTGGGGATGACATTTCCCACTAATATTTATTTGAAGCTGTTATTTCACATAGACGGTGAGTGGAGGTCCCAGCACGGTGGCCTAACTACTGAAGTCCTCACCTTTAATGTGCCCAGGATCCCATATGGGTACCGGTTCTAATCCTAGCAGCTCTGCTTCCCATCTAGTTCCCTGCTTGTGGCCTGGGAAAGCAGTTGAGGATGGCCAAAATCCTTAGGACCTTGCACCCATGTGGGACACCTGGAAAAGCTCCTGGCTCCTGGCTTCAGATTGGCTCAGCTCCAGTTGTTGTGGCCACTTAGGGAGTGAACCATCAGATGGAAGATCCTCCTCTCTGTCTCTCCTCCTCTTTGTATATCTGACTTTCCAATAAAATTGAATAGATCTTAAAAAAAAAGCCAGTTGAAAAGAAAAACCTAGGTGAAGTGCACTGTGGAAGTCAGATTTACTTACTGAGATGGCAGAGGTAGTACATCCTTAGTTGAGTTTGCACGTGTCCATCATGGCCTTTTTTGTCATCATGGAGGAGGCTCAGGTGCATTGTGTTAAAGTGGCTGTACTGAATTGTTGTGGAGTAAGTGGAGTTCATTTTTTAGCAGGGCCTTAGCACAGAGACTGCTGAAAATGTTCCTGCCCTATTGTTTGTCACTAACTCTCTGCCTAGACCTAGCAATATCTCTTCTATGAACTTAAAATATCCTTCTTAACTAATAGCTGGAGTACTTTATTGTTGAATGGTACTTGTTTGCCATATAGAAATAATGAGAAATGGTGCTGTCACTGTTGTCATATTCCAGAGTTTTAACTATTCCCTTTGTAGACTTAATGCAAAAATAAATAATTATAGCAGAAAAAATGTTTTATATAGCAGTTATATAAATACTGCTATGCAAGGATGGTTTAACAAATGCAACTCTATCAATGTGATACACCACATCAAGAAATTGAAGAATAAAAATCATATGATAGTCTCAATAGATGCAGAGGAAACATTTGATAAAGTCCAACACTACGTCGTTAAAAACTCTAAGCAAGCGAGGCATAGAAGGAGCATTGTACAACAACCAAAGCAATTTATGGAAAACTGAGTGCCAGTATCATACTGATTGTGAAATAATCGAGAGCTCTTCCACTAAGATCTGGAGCTAGACAAGGATGTCCACTAGCCACCACGCTATTTAACAGTACTGGAAGTCCTCGCTACAGCCATTAGGCAAGAAAAAGAAATTAAAGTAGTTCAAATTGGAAAAGAGGAAGTCAAACTGCCTCTGTTTGCAAACGACATGATTCTCTATATAGGAGAACCAAAAAAATTCAATGAAGAGACTGCTACAACTTATGAGAGAGCTTGGTAAGGTGGCAGAGTACAAAATAAGTGAATGCAAATCATTTGCCCTAGTGTATACAAACAACTCTAGGGCTGAAAAAGAACTAGCCAGTACAGTCCCTTTTAAAATAATAGAGAAGATACTTAAATGCCTTGGAATAAACTTAACTAAATATATGGAAAATCTCTATGAGGAAAGTTACAAAACATTAAAAACCAAATAGAGACTTTAGAAAATGAAGGAATATACCATGTTCCTCAATAGGCAGAGTAAACATCATCAAAATATCCTTATTACCAAAAGTGATATAGAGATTCAGTGTGATCCTAATCAAAATGCCAAGAACCTCCTTCACAGAGCTGGAAGAAATGATATAGAGATTTATCTGGGAACACAAAATACCACAAATAGATAAAACCATCTTGAAGAATAAAAATATAGCTGAAGGGGTCACAAATCCAGACCTTAGGACATATTATAGTGGTAGTCAGAATAGCCTGGTAATGGTACAAAAACAGAGAGGAAGATCATTGGAGCAGAACAGAAACACTGGAAGAGAGCCCACACATGTATAGCCAGCCATCTAACATTTGACATGAGAACAGAAAACAACTGAGGGGAAAAAGATGATCTCTTCAATAAATGCTGTTAGGATAATTACATAGCAGTCTGCAGAAGTAAGAAAAAAGATCCACATATTTCACCATTCATAAAGATCAAATTTAAATGGATAAAGGATCTAAACCTACACTCTGCAAGAAATGGATGTAGGCACAGACTTCCTGGAAAAATCATCAAAAGCATAGGCAATCAAGACCAAAATAAACAAATGGGCCTGCATCAAAGTAAGAAGCTTCTGCATAGCAAAGGAAACAATCAACAAAGTGAAAAAAACAACCAACAGAGTAGGAGAAAATCTTTGCACTCTATACAACAGATAGGGCTATATCCAGAATATACAAAGAACTCCAGAAACACAGTAACAACAGAACAAATAAGGCAGTTAAGAAATGGGCAAAGGAAACGAGCATTTTTCAAAGGAGTAAATCCAAATGGGTAACAGGCATATGAAAAAATACTCAAACTCCCTAGCAGTAAGGGGAATTCAAATAAAATCCACTCAGAGGTCGCACTTAGCCCTAGTGAGAATGGCCTACATACTTAACAACACCTGCTTGTGAGAATGTGGGGGAAAAGGTACCCTACTTCACTACAAGGTGGGACTGTAAACTGGTGCAGCCACCATGGAAGTGGCTATGGAGAATACGAAGGCAGCTCAAAGTTCACCTACCATGTGACCCAGTAATCTCACTCCTGTGAGTATATCCAAAAGAATGATTAGAAAGCAGCATGCACCCCTGTAATCATTGCAGTGCAATCAACAATTGCAAAAATATGGAAACAACCTAGACGCCAATTGAAAGAGGTCTGGATAAAGAAACTGTGGTACATCTACTCTGTGGAATACTACTCAGGTAATAAAGAATGACGTTTTATTATTTGCAACCAAATGGTCCCAATTGGAGACCATTATGCTCAGTGAAATGAGCCACTCCCTGAAGCACAACTATCATATTTACTCTGAAAGAAGATCACTCCATCTACAATACACAACGAAAAATAAATATAAACACAAACACAATTGTAATCTCACAAATGAAGGAGGTAATAGAGACCAGAGTACTGGAATCAAAAGAAAATCAACAGAATGCATCTCTACTTCTGAATAAAAGCAGGCTCCCAGTGAAACCTCTAAATGTACCTAGTACCAAAACATTGAACTTTCTGTCATGGCCTATGCCAACAGTGTCATGACCCACATAAAGAGCAGAAAGTTGGAGTTGAGACTACACCTGACAGACTGTTTTAAACAAAACACAGATGATGACATGCAGTAGAGGGGAGGAGGGAGGACTTACGTCTGCAAATATGTAAAATGGATAAATAAGAATAAAAGGTTTGGTGATGTACAAGATACATATGAAAAATAAGTAGGCTTAATAACGTTATTAGTTCATTGAAAATTAATGAATTCCCCTTGATCATTGAAGTGCATGGTGAGATGGATAATATGAAAAGGAGTTACCCTGACACTGTTCCATGTTCTGTGTGTGGTCCCTGGATCCTGTGCATGGTCCATGTTGTTGAGTCTTAACAGGTGCTTCAGGATCCAGCATCGTTCCTTATTCTGAGGAGTCCTGTGAGTCCACTACAGTCAACACCTCATCATAATCACAGTACCATTTATGTCCCTTAAAGTCCTCTGAAGTCAGGAATTGCAAATAGGATAACATCCATGTATTTTAATTTCAGAAAGTATCATCTCTTTTTTCCTAATGGATTCTTGAATTATTGTAAGAGTTAATTTCGGATTATTTAGAAAATATAAGTGAGCAAAAGCAAATGACTCACCTAACACTCAGAGAATATGATCTGTATTTTCATCATGCTTTCTGAATATTTACATACATGTATTACCTAAGTTTTATACCAAGCATTCTATTACATAAATACCATTTTTCTTATTAAACACATGAGGAAATTTCTAGTGGTAGGGTTGCAGGGATCCAGGTATTTTTCTATGCCTTTTCTCTGAATGTTTATTTTCAACAAAATGAAAATCATAGAATTCAGGAACCCTAGAATTCAGAATTTCCCTGCTTCTGTAAGAGCCAGACAATTGGACAAAACATGCATATCAGTTGTTTTCTGGCAGTATTCAATAAGCATTGCGGTACTGGAAGTCCTGAGAAAAGGGAAACGAATGGGCAAAGCCCTCAGTTAATGAATCAAGAGAGTTTGCCAAAGCGCAGGATAGAGGAACCTAACACCTAGATAAAGAGTAAGAAGCCGCTAGTTTGTATGACAGAAGTGAGGAGAGGGCTCAAGATGTGCTGAAGGGGTCTCTTATATCCAGGGCTGATGGCTAGTCTGTGCACATGTGGATTCAATCTCTACAAAGTAGACGAGTTACAAGGAAAATCTGCTTTTAAAAATTCATAAAACTGGGCCTGGCATGATAGTGTAATGGTTAAAGTCCTCGCCTTGAACCCGCCGGGATCCCGTGTGGTTGCCGGTTCTAATCCAGGCAGCCCCACTTCCCATCCAGCTCCCTGTCTGTGGCCTGGGAAAGCAGTCGAGGACAGCCCAAAGCCTTGGGACCCTGCACCCGTGTGGGAGACCCGAAAGAGCTCCTGGCTCCTGGCTTTGGATCGGCATAGCTCCAGCCATTGTAGCCGCTTGGGGAGTGAATCAGCAGGTGGAAGATCTTCCTCTCTGTCTTTCCTTCTCTGTTTATCCGCCTTTCCAATAAAAATAAATAAATCCTTAAAGAATTCATAAAGCTGTACACTTATGTTTAAGTATTTTTTATTATATATTTATATATATATATATTGTGTTTGAGTAATAGAAGAGGAATACTTGAAAGTAAAATAATTATATATTGATATAATATCTAACAATAAACAGTGGTCCCTATGGTTGTTAGGTTTATGTTGTTTGACTTGCAATTGTAAAAGCCCTGGTCTAAGTAGACTGACAGGTTTGTATTGCTCTATCCCCTGGAGCAGCCACTAACAGCCGCACCAAGGTACCGCCCCGGGGGTTGGACTTACATAAAACATTAAAGTGATCTGAAAAGATGCAGAAACTTCTTAACAAAGAAGGTAGACAGATGGCATTGGATGTCCTAAATTCATGGTGTAAGCTTCTAGTATAATAAACTAGAAAAAGGAGAATAGATATTAAGAGAAAAGCAAGGAAAAAGGAACAATAAAGAAAACAACCGAATTCAATGGAATTGAAAACAGAAACAGTAGAAAAACCAGTGAAGCTGAAGAGCAGGTTGCTTGGACATATTAAGAATTAATGAGTGTCTGGCCAACCTTACCACTAAAAAGGAAAAAATACATAAAAGAACATTGCTGCAAACGTGAGAGGTCACATCATCCCCGTGGTCCTCCCCACTGAGGCATTAGACTCAAAGTCTAAACGTTCTTCTAGGATACATGAAATTTAGCAGAATTACTTAGTGAAGTGTAAAGAAATGTGAAAAAGATTTGTATATACAAATTATTCACAGATTTATTTGCATTGCTTACTATTGCTATGCTGTCAGCTTTAAGATTAAACCTCCCCGTTTTTCCTTAATTTAACCATAATAGAAATAACACCTTGCGTTACTGAAACAAACCCCTTTTTACATTTGTTGCTAGGTTTTTTCCCCCCATATTTTGCCAACATTGTCACTTACATGTATAAATTACTTGTTGCCATGTTTGGGAAGATATGCTAAATAAATGTTGTACATTGCAGGCATCGTTAAGCAAACTGATGGAGACACTTGGTCAAGCAGAACCATACTTTGTAAAGTGTATTCGCTCTAATGCCGAAAAGGTATGTTCCAAATGTGAGAGCACATAGCTGCCCAACAGAATTTTTTTTGTTCTTTAATTTCTTGTAAGGAGGCAGCTGGAAGTTAAGAGGTATGTGTAACTTTTATAAGGAAAATAACATTGTCTGTAATTTCAACACTCGACCGGACAGAAGCGTGTTTGGATGGAGGCTTGATTTAGCATCTCCTAGAATCTGAGAAGCAAATATTGCTTCAAATTCAATCAGAAAAAAAGGAGTTTTCTTTGATGAGCATGTTGTTACCCTAAGAATAATCATTTTTCTTGTTTGAATATATACCATGTCTCTTAAGGAATTGCTCAGTGTTTTTCATATTTGAAGAATTTTATCCCCATAACTTAGGGAATATTCTTTATTGCTTCTTCTGTGACAGTTCCCCTAATTAGAATTTTTCAAAATATGCCACAAATAAATATTTGTCTTTTTTATTTAGTCATCATTGAAAAAGTATTCCCCTTCCTGGATAACTAAAATGTATTAGGAATTATATCCAATTTTGTAATTTTTGAGAAGTAGTCTGCAACTGCTATTTATGATCTGCGAACTTTGACAAAATACTTGATCATTCTGTGGTTTAAATATTTTCATCTGTGTAAAACCACATCATGATTATTGGACCAATCTTCTAATTTTTGTTTGATTACTTAGAATGCTTTTTCCTGTAGTAAATGCCAAGGGAATGTTCACCATCCCGAAAGGGATTATTGCAGTTTAACAGAAGTTTGGATTTCAGTTACAATTGAGACTATGCTATACGAGAGCTTGATTAATGTAGTATTTTATGGTACCTGATCAACAGTTACATAAATGTGAACTGTTCCTATTATTTTACATAAATTGCCCAGTTTATTCATTTTTTTCCCTTGACTGTGGTTATACCTCACCCAGTTTCAGGAAATGCTTATATTGCCTCGGAGAATCAATGAAAGTAGAATTTAGAGGACAGGGAGAAACACCAGAGTCTCCTATTACATTTTGTCATGAATACCCAAAAGCAGGCCCACTGAGATACCCAGGAGTGCCAGGCTGTGGAGACTGCCTCCGTGTCAGTGCCCGTGTGATGGACAAAATGAGGTGGCTCATGCTGAGGACTACTGGAGAGTTGTGTTTCCCATGGTTCAGATGAATATCATCAATAAAATCATATTTAGGAAAAAATTATGTGTAACCTTTTTCTAGTTATTATAGGCATGGCATTAGTTCCCAGTTAACCAAAACAACTGGTAAAGTGTGGGCAGTTGTTTTCTTAGTTATCATTCTTACAAATAGGAAAGCTATGTTCTTCACTGTGTGTCAGATTTCATAATGACTGGACCCTTTGGCTTTTAAGGCAACCCCATTCCCTTTGAACCTTATCTCAGAGTCTTGCTCCTTCACAAGCAGAGGAGATTGGAAGCTGCTGATTTTCTTCTCCCTAGCCTTTGGCAGTTTAGAATTTTCCTGAAGATGTCATTTTGGAAGTGAGCTTATCCTGTTCTCTTAGCTGTGTTGTGACCAGACAACCTCCAGTCCCTAGATAATTTATCTGTACTTAGAAGATACATTCATTCAGGAATCTATTATTTTGAAATAATCCTTTTTCCATTTCTTTTGTTTTAGCTGCCGTTAAGATTCAATGACGCCTTGGTACTTCGACAGCTTCGATATACTGGGATGCTGGAGACAGTCCGAATCCGTCAGTCAGGATACAGCTGCAAATATTCTTTCCAGGTTATGCTTCTATAATTATAGTTCAATATAGGCATGTTACATTAAGTAGTACTGTTTGTCTTGTTTATTATTTCTTTGGGGAGCATGTGTTTATTTCCCACGGTTCTTCATTTCCAGAACACCTTTTGTATACAGAGTTGAAGAGTTCTCTTCTGCTGAAAGTCAAGTCTCACATGTAATAGAACGTACTTCTAGGCTGTTTTTGTTTGAGCAAAATGTTTGCGAATACCAGTAATTCTCCAGTCACTCAATTAGTTCAGTCAGAATGCTCTGAAAAGTGTCACCAGGACTTAGCTCTGCAGTAAGCTACCCACGAGGCCTTGAGCTGTTGAGATGAGCAGCTGCTGCGGGGGCCAGGGTTACATGCAGGCTCTGGCGGTGGGACTGTCTGTGCTGACACAGCAGCGACTGTGTCGTGGCATGCCTTCTGACAGCTGCCATATTGGCTTTTTCCTCCCTTGCTAGAAGTTTTAGGTTTTGTTAAATAACTTAAAAAAGAAATTCTTAGGTTCTGCCCTTCTTTTTCCATTTTTTTTGATAACATATAAAACTCAATATCCTTTAGAAACTTTTCATAATAATAATATATAATTGATAAGTACTTTTTTTGGGTTTCAGCCTGTTTAACAAGAAAAAAATTAATGAAAAGATGTTTAAGTAGTTGAAAAATGTGTTTGCATATGATCTTACAACACTTTGCTTCATTTTTCAGGATTTTGTGAGTCACTTCCATGTACTTCTTCCCCGAAATATTAATCCATCCAAATTTAACATCCAAGATTTCTTCAAGAAAATAAATCTTAATCCAGAAAATTATCAAGTTGGAAAAACCATGGTAAATATAATAGACACAGCCTTTGTCAAAACTAAATAGTGATATTGATATTTTCCTATGAGAAGGTTTATGGTAGTGTGTGAGACAGTATAAAGATGGTGATTAGGTCAAGGTTTTAGCTTTTTAAAGAAGGATTTATTTTTATTGGAAAAGCAGATTTACAGAAGCATAGATCTTCAATCTACTGATCCACCCCCCAAATGGCCACAGTGTCCAGAGCAGAGCCAGTCAGAAGCCAGGAGCTTTTGCCAGGTCTCCCACAAAGATGCAAGTTTCCAAGGAATTCAGCAATCCTCTGCTTTCTCAGGCTGTAAGCAGGGAGCTGAATGGGAAATGGAGCAACTGGAGCATAAATGGGCACACTTATGGGATCCTGGCACTTTCAAGGAGAGAATTAGCCAATTGAGCCATCACACCGGGCATGTAGCCACAGAACTTCTAATCAGTGCTATGACTGATGAAGTGTAACTACCTAGAGCTTGTGCTGTGCTCTCCAGTGTAGCTGGCTCAGAGTGGCTTGATCCAGATATTATACTGCCCTTAGTGCTTCACAGCTACTTTCCCTCTCTGTCACCCTCCCAATGCTTCAGACTAAGAACTATAATTATTTTTGAATTTTTTCTTTAATTCTTTTATGAAGTTTTGTTTCTTTTATCTCTCCCTTAAAAATAATCTTCACAGCTCTCTTTCGTTTTTCTGTTGCTTCCACTAACTGAAGCTATTGCAACTGCCTTGCTGATAGATTTAGTGGCTCACTTGGTTCTGTTCTATTTGTAATCCCATGAATCTTTTTCTACCCTTAAGATTAAAATCATCTTAACAAACGTCTTTCTTTCTCTTGGCCTGCTCTTCATTAATACTGTCTTGTAACCTCCTCAGTAAATTCAGAATTCATCCTGTGTTTCATGGGTCTCCATATTGTGGCTTCATATCCTGATCTTCTTTATGAAAATTAATTATTCCACTGATTCCTGTGCATTCCTGTATTAGGATTTCCAGCTCCTGATGCTCTTCATTAGCAATCTTCTCTTACCCTTGTGAATTTACCATTATTCTTCTTCAGTATATTATATCTTCCTGCTCTTAAAGGTGGGATGTGGATTCTGTTTCTAAAGGAATATATCTTGATACATCGTTGTATTCTCCCAAATCCCTAAAGATTTATAATGGGATAAAGGAATAAATAAATAAATTTTGTATGAGTAATAGCTTTGGGGAAAAGGAATCCTTTGATGCATGTTGGATTTTAGAGAGAGTGTAATCACTGATTTACTTGATGCTATGATCAAGCTTTAAGATCTGTAGTTCCCACAAGTCCTCACCCTCCATCCTCTCTGCAGTCCTTCAAAATCCTTTAAAAATAGGCCATGTGTTGGGCTTGTGTTGTGTATCAAGTAATACCATTACTGTGATGTGAGCATCCCATGAGTTCTGGTTTGTGTCCTTGCTGTTCCGATTTCTAATTTTTAAAGATTTACTGAATTGATTTGAAAGACAGAGTTACAGAGAGAGATATCTTCCATCCACTGATTTATTCTCCAAATGGTTGGAAAGGCCAGAACTAGACCTGCCTCAAACCAGGAGCCAAGAGCCTATTTTAGATTTCCCACTTGGGTGACAGGGACCCAGGTACTTGGACCATCTTCCAGTGCACTTTAGCAAGAGTTGAATTGAAAGTAGAGCAGCTGGGACAATGTCGATACCTCTTCCACTTTTTTTTTTTCAACAGTCAGACTCTTTATTGCTGGGGGCTGGTGGCTCAGGCACTCTTGGTGGGCCGCGTACGCTTCCTCTTCACCATCACGGGCTTCTGGCTGTGTAGGATGGCGTTGGCACTGCAGATGGCAGCCAGCCATGCGCAGATCAGGGCGGTACTTGTTCTTGCGAATCATGTGCCGGATGCTGCTGAGCGTGGCTCACGCATTCTTGTTTTTGGTGGTCCGCATGTAGGAGGTGGCTGGCTTCCGCTGGCCGCTCCGTTGCTTCATGACCACCACTACGCCCTTGCCGTCTGCCGCCGGTTCCATGCCCACGGTCTTGCGGTGGATCAGCCCGTTGTAGCGGAACGAGTTCCGGGCCTTGTGGTTATTGGGCTCCATGCTGTACCTCTGCTTGTTCCTCTTGATGAGGAAGCTGGAGCAGTTGCGCACACGACCGTCCACTGCAGGTGCGCGGACTTGGCGGCAGCGACTCCTCTCGCTCGGTAGGCTGGAGACGGAAAGCACCTCTTCCACTTCTAGCCCAGTTCTTGCTAATGGCCTGGGAAAAGCAGCAGATGGCCCAAGTGTTTCTGCCCCTCCTTCCCTCTCGCATTGGAGATCTGCAAGAAGCTCTGGCTATTTTGGCCAGCTGGGGAGTAAACTAGAAATAGATCTCTTTATCCCATTCTGTAGCTCTGATTTTCCAATAAATAAATCAATCTGAAAAATAATAGCCTGGTGCAATGGTTCACTTGCCTAATTTCCCCCCTTGAAAGTGCCAGGATCCCATATTGGGACTGCTTCATGCCCTGACTGCTCCACTTACCATCCAGCTGACTCCTTATCTGTGGCCTGGGAAAGCAGTGTAGGTTGGGACCCCTCACCCACGCCAGAGACCAGGAAGAAGCTCCTAGCTCTTGGCTTCAGATCAGCTCAGCTCTGGCAATTGTGGCTATTTGGGTAGTGAACCAGAGGATGGAAAATCTTTCTCTGTCTGTACTTCTCTGTGTAGCTCTGCCTTTTTAATAAAAATAAATCTTAAAAAAAAGTATAGCAGGAGTACATTGACTCATTATGACAATGATTGTTGCTAGGGAGCAATGTATAAACTTTAGCACTGGGTTTCGAGTATTGCCATCTTCTACATCCTCATTTCTCCTTTTGAGTTTGAGAATTATACTGTGGTAAAGCGGTGAAAATATTGATCATTGCTATACTTATGCCAGTATGCTTATACTCCTGCCATTATGATTGCTGTGCAAAAGCGTACTACAAAAAGAGAGTTCATGAGCTGCTTCTCCCTGGGAAGCTGCACACTGCCCTGTTGTTTGTTCTGCTAGGTCTTCCTGAAGGAGCAGGAGCGACAGCACCTGCAGGACCTGCTGCACCAGGAGGTGCTGCGCAGGATTGTGCTGCTGCAGCGCTGCTTCCGGGCCCTGCTGTGCAGGCAGCATTTCCTGCGCCTGAGACAGGCTGCCATCAGGATCCAGGTGGGCACAGGGTGAACTCCTCTGTTGGGGCTTCGTTTAGGAATCAGAGCTATTTGGATGTGAAGTGTGAACTTCAGGGGTGACCATGTGAGTGGCTCAGTTTTGACATGCTGCCGGCATTCTGAAGGTGACCTGGCGTAGGAATAGGGACCGTTACTGTTTACTATGCTGAGTTAAACTCGAAGCGAGGTTATTTTGCAGGGTCTTAAGGGCAAAGGAGCCACATGCTTCATCTTTGTTGACATTGTTCTTGTGAATTCATTTTCTAAATGATGTTTCCTTGTCTCTTTTATTATCTCTCTCCCTGATATATGTCAGTGCGTGTTAGTGCTCTCCATGGGACTTTGTGTTTGTTCAAGGCAGTCTTCTGTTACCTTAGGCAAATTATAGCAAGAGAATGGAAAATAATGTATTAAAATTAACTTGTACAGCATAAAAGCACCCCTAAGTTTTAAATTGGCTGCATCCAGATTATACTCATGTTACTTAAAGTAGTTTTAACCAAATTGTCTACAAAACTTTTGTTTTTAGTCATCAACAATTTACCTGCTTTTAGCCACTTAACCTCTCCTCTGGTTGTTTTTCCCCTTTTCTGTGAAAATGTGGGGTAAAATATGACAGACGGTTTCTGTCGCCTTGTCTTGCTCACAGCGGTTCTGGAGGACCTGCCTCACTCAGAAGCAGGCTCGGGGTGAAGTAGTGCTGGAGGATGCTGCAGCGATGGCCAGCGCAGCTGCTCTTCTGCAGGCTTCCTGGCGTGCACGCTCGGAGCGGCAGCGCTACCTGGAGTTGCGGGCTGCGGCCATCACCATCCAGCAGTGGTGGAGGGTGCAACAGAGGCGCAGGCACAGGGCTGCCGTCTGCATCCAGGCGAGGTGGAGAGGCTACAGGCAAAGCAAGCAGTACCAGGAGCACCGGAGCAGAATCATCCTCCTGCAGTCCACATGGAGACAAAGGTAACTTAGGACACCTGTGCACTCATATTTGTTTTATAATGGATTATGTGCAGTTTGTTACAGTGTTATTGCTGTCCATTTTTAACTGACATTATCTGGTCTATAATAGAAGTTCAGTAAGCACTTATTGTGTTAAATTGAAGACCTGCATGGTCTGTATTTATAATAACCAAGAATTGACAATTATTACTACATTTGTGTTAGGCTTAATTCAACTGTTTAAATTGTCAGAAACTTTTTACTTTTAAGGTTTGCTTTAAAGTAAGTATATGGAGTATCAGTGTGCAGTTAGGAAAAGTTAATTACTATGCCTAATTAAAATATCATTTGATTCGTGGAAATAAGAGAACTTGAAATGTGCACTCAGGTTTATTTAAGAAATACTGGAAAATTGTAAATAGAAAATTTCACAACTTTCCATTTTTCCTAAATTCTCAGTAAATGTATATTTTATGGTACCAAACAGGAGATATTTTTGACACTTTTGTTAATTATTATTACTGTTATTATTTTTTAGATTTAAAGCTTTAAAAGAGCAAAGACTCAGAGAGGCAGCACCAGATCTTGAACTGATGAAGATCAAGGCACGTGGAGCTCTGGAAATTCACGGTTCAGACCCTTCCAACTGGGAAGATTGCTCTTTTGACAACCGAGGAAAGGCCATAGAGGAGCATAAATCTGTGCTGGAGAGGAATCGCACTAGTCATGAAGGTTCAGAGAACTGCTCAAAGGAGTCCCCAGGCAAGCGACAGGAGAGAGCCAGAAGCCAGAGTGGTGTGGACTTGCAGGAGGATGTGGTGGTCAGAGAGAGGCCCAAGTCCCTGGAGGATCTGCATCAGAAGAAAGCAGGCCGGGCAAAAAGAGAGAGTCGGAGGATGAGAGAACTAGAGCAAGCTATATTTAGCTTGGAATTGCTAAAAGTTCGTTCTCTTGGTGGGGTGTCACCTTCTGAGGAGCGCAGGTGGTCTACAGAACTGGTGCCTGAAGGTCTTCCCTCTCTGCAGGGCACACCTGACAGTGAGAGTTCTCAAGGAAGCTTGGAGCTTCTGAGTGCTGAGGACAGCCAGAAGAGCAAGCCAGGATCTGGAACTGTAGATGAAGGAGATCTGCAGCTTTCAGCTCGAAAGACAACCAGCAGTCCGAAAGTTGGTTCACAGGACTACACCCTCAGTGCCTCCTGTGAGGTGAGCAAGGGGGCACCTGGAGACCCAGCACCCTTGAGGAGTAGCACTGGGAAGGAAAAATTGGCCCACCGCTCTGAGCCTATTACCTGTAAGCCACAGCCAAGAGACTCCTTTGTGTCGAATAGTCTGCCTACATTTTTTTACATTCCCCAACAAGACCCACTAAAAACAAGTAGTCAACTAGACACAAGCGTCCAAAGAAGCAAACTCTTAGAAAGTGCAGACCCACTGGGGACAGCTGTTCCCTTCGACAGCAGCAGGGAAACTGAGAAGCGTTCCTTCTCAGCGGAGGATCACGTTGCTCCGTCTGTGAAGACAGAGTCTGCGAGAACTGTGCTGAAGAAGTTAGAAAAGCTGAACATGGAAAAGGAAGAAAGGCAAAAGCTGTTGCATCAGCAAAATGAGAAAGAGATGATGGAGCAGATCCGTCGGCAGACAGATATCCTGGAGAAGGAGCGGAGAGCCTTCCAGACGGTGGAGCAGCCAACAGCTGGGGAGTCCTTCCTGGCACCGTCTTCCTCTCAGCCCAAGCAAAGAGCAGAGAGGCCTGCCTCTCTCTTTCTCCCAAATGCCCCAAATAAGGAAGAACTCGGTGCACGGGGATCTCCATCAGTAGCTGTAAAAGATCCAGCTCGTGCCACAAAAGGCGGTCCCTCTGCTCACTTACCCATAAAGGACCGGCCAGTGACCCTGTTCTTTGAAGGAAAAGGAGCCCCATGCCAATCTGGTACTGTCAGAGAATCATCCAAAACATACAGAGTGGGCACCCAACAGAGTGTAACCTGTAAACCCTCCAATAATGGCGTTTCCAAAAGAGAGCACTTTAGGCCAACCCAGAATTACGGCCACAAATCTGATGACCCTTCCAGAGAGGGAGATACAAGGACCATTTTCTTCACACCAAAGGACAATATGAATGTTCCCCTGTAAGTGAAATGTTTATGTGTAGATGACAAGCTTCCTAGAGTATTTTATTAAAATAGGATGCCTTATTCTGCTCTACCTCTGTACATCTATGCAGCTCAGATTAGGTGTTTCCACTCACCATTGGGAATTGGCTAGTTTTCCTTTAGGAAACATTGACAAGGCTTCGATAGAATTTTTGATAGTAGGGCCTGGCGTGGTGGCGCAATGGTTAAGGTCCTTGCCTTGCACGCCCGGGATCCCATATGGGCGCCGGTTCTAATCCCGGCAGCCCCGATTCCCTTCCAGCTCCCTGCCTGTGGCCCGGGAAAGCAGTCGAGGACGGCCCAAAGCTTTGGGAACCTGCACCCGCGTGGGAGACCCAGAAGAGGCTCCTGGCTTCGGTTCGGCATAGCATCGGCCGTTGCGCTCACCTGGGGAGTGACTCATCGGACGGAAGATCTTCCTCTCTGTTTCTCCTCTCTGTATATCCGCCTTTCAAATAAAATAAATCTTTAAAAAAAAAAAGAATTTTTGATAGTAGAGGTTTTTTTTTTAAGATTTATTTATTTTTATTGGAAAATCAGATATACTGAGAAGAGGAGAGACAGAAGAAGATCTTTAGTCCGATGGTTCACTCCCCAAGTGAACACAACGGCCGATACTATGCCGATCTGAAGCCAGGAGCTTCCAGGTCTCCCATGCAGGTGCAGGGTGCCAAGGCTTTGGGCCATCCTTGACTGCTTTTCCAGACCACAAGCAGGGAGCTGGATGGGAAGTGGAGCTGCCAGGATTAGAACCGGCACCCATATGGAATCCCAGAGCATTCATGGCAAGGACTTTAGCTGCTAGGCCACTGCGCTGGGCCTGATAGTAGAGTTTTGATACTGAGTCAGTGAAGGGCACTGAGTGACGTTGAACAGCAGAGGCATTTAGTAAAGTGCTAATTGCCTGGGAACCTGGGGGCAATATGTGCAAGCCTGCTGCCATAAGGCTTCGACACTGCTGCTGGCCCATTGATGGTCTTTGTTCTTTTCCTCATACTTTTCTGTATGTGATAAGGATACAGATAAAAAATGTTTCTTTTGTTCTTAAAGATTCATCTGTTTATTCAAAGGGCATAGTTGTATAGTGGGAAACAGAGATCATCCATCTTCTAGTTCCTTCCCCAAGTGGCCTCAGTGGCCAGGGCTGGGCCCGTCTGCAACGAGGAGCTTGAGCTTCATCCAGGTCTCCCATGTGGGTGGCAGCGGCCCAAGGACTTGAGTAGTATTCTAGTTGGTTTCCCCTAAGCACATTAGCAGGAAGTTGGATCAAAAGTAGTACAGCTGGGATTCAAGCTCATGTGGCTTGCTGATACTGCAGGTGGTGGTGTAGGCTGCTGTGCCACAACGCCAGCCCCACAGTTAGCTCTCTTTAGGGTACACCTCAATAGTGTTAACTGCGTACTTGTTGCTGTGGAGCAGCTGTCTGAGAAATGAAAGTTTGTCACCATTGAACAGCTCTCCTTTGACTTCTTTCTGGTAACTACTGTTCTGTTTTATGAGAGTTGAACTACTTTAGTTTTCTCATGTAAGTGGAAATCCTTTAAGGATTTTCAAGGTTTTTTAGATTACCAGTAGTAATGAGAATAGTGTTTTAAAAGTTTTATTTCTTTTATTTGAATGGCAGAGACACACACAGAAATCTCCCATCTGCTGGTTTAGTCCCCAAATACTACAATAGCTGAGCCGATCCTCATCAGGAGGCAGGAGCCTCTTCTAGGTCTTCCACACAAGTGCAGCATCCCAAGGCTTTGGGCCATCCTCTACTGCTTTTTCCTGGCCACAAGCAGGGAACCAGATGTGAAGTGGAGCAACCAGGACGTGAATCAACGCTCCAACGGGATTCCAGCCTGTGCAAGGCGAGGATTTAGCTACTGAGTTATTGCACCTGGCCTTTCCAGTAAAAACAAATAAATCCTAAAAAAAAAAAAAGTAAATTGCTGAGAAAAAGAAGGCAATTTATAGAACTTATGGGAATCTATTTTAGCCATGAAAGATGACTACAGATATAGGTAACTGAGAGTATGAAAGTACAATTTCTGTTCCTATTTTTATTTGTCTAATTCTCCACAGAATTTAGCGATAAGACAATCACATTATACAGCTGTTCAAACAAAATCAAGTTTTTCCAAGCCCACTCTATAGCATCTGTAGGAGTGGGCGACTGGGGTTATCTTTTTGCTTGTTACTGATTTTATTCTATATAACCTGAAGGTTTAAAACACAAATAGTTCACGGAAGCTGTAGAGAAACTTTGAGAAGAGATTTTGCTTACTGAAGACATCTGAATAATGAAGCCCTCCCTACTGGGTGATATTCACTGTCCAGCAGCAATGGACTTGGTGCACAGAGCTGATGATAACACGCATGGGTAGACTGATGGTCAATTGTCAGAGTTTATTAGTGGCATTGGGCTTTTATAGTCTGAGGGTCACATTGGATAAGGGAGGAGATATTAAGGAGCTTACATAGTTCCCATAAACCCATCTATGAAACCTACCAGTAGTTTCCACACCCTTGTCTGAAAATATCTCTCTTTGTTTTGCATATTCAATTCGTTGTTTCCATTCAAATGATATCCACTCAGTTGTTCTCACACAAATGATATCCTATCAGTTATCCTCCTGTATCCAATCATTTGCTCTTATATAAATGATACCCACTCAGTTGTTCTCACACAAATGATACCAGTTGTCTTCTTATGGAGAGACTGTTTATTAGCTGTTGTATGATTGGAAGAAAAGGCCACTTCTGAGACTTGTCTCGGAAAGATTAGAGAATCTGGTATTTTCCTTTTCTCATCATTTCCACTTTTGAGCTAATTTTGCTGCCATTCTTTTTTTAAATATTTATTTATTTTTATTACAAATCAGATATACAGAGAGGAGGAGAGACAGAGAGGAAGCTCTTCCATCTGATGATTCACTCCCCAGGTGAGCGCAATGGCTGATGCTATGCTGGTCCAAAGCCAGGATCAAGGAACTTCTTCTGGGTCTCCCACGAGGGTGCAGGGTCCCAAGGCTTTGGGCCATCCTCTACTGTTTTCCCAGGCCACAAGCAGGGAGCTGGATGGGAAGTGGAGCCACTGGGATTAGAACCGGCGTCCATATGGGATTCCGGCGCTTTCAATGCGAGGACTTTAGCCACTAAGCTACCGGGCCGCCGGGCCCTTGCTGCCATTATTCTTAAACATATCATTGGAGTAAAGTATACTTTCCAGTTATTAGGACAGGGCCTCTAGGAGTTCAGTCATACTCACAGATTGTTGAAATAGCATTAATTGTATAACCAAATTTTGGAATTCTCTATGGGATTTCATAGCATTATTTCACTAGACTTGTTAGAACCATAATTCATCCCCTACTGTAAGATTGCTGCCCTAGAATATTTGCTAGGAATTGAAGTATAACTGTTTTACCTGCAGTGTCAACAGAGAAGCCTTAGGCAGTGAAAACCCTCGTGCGTGTAGACAAGAGGAACCAGCTTGGAAACCTGTGAAATTCACTGGGCCTGGCCAAGGAGAGGTAAGCATCGGGCCTTGTAGATCTGCCTCCTGTGTGAACTAGATGCATGATATTTTGGAAGTTATTTTTGTAAGGTAGAGCACTTCATCTATCCACCTAGTCCCGAGTGTTCTAGAGGAAGAAGCTGTAAACTGAGGCTGTTAGGCTTAGGGAGGTGCGCTGTAGGTGGGGAGTGGTGTCGGAAGACTCAGGTTGCACAGCGGAGAAGCCACCAAGGAGCTCTGGTGCCTTTCCCTAGCCGTGCAGGATGACTTGCTGTTGTGAAGAGCATGGTAGATGTAGATAGCTTTCGTTCCTCTCTGTAGTAAGGAACCTGAATTCTTTTGTTCATTCCTGTCACTTCTGCCAGTGGAATGGGCGCAGTGGGAGGCGGGGTATGTCAAGACGTTTGTGAGACCTTTGATGTCTTGCATTGGCATCATATCCCCTCCCTCAAAAAAAAAAAGCAAAAACAAAACATTGTTGTGTTATTTGTTTTATCATTTGGTCAAGCAGGTTGCCAGACCGGCCCATAAAAAGAAAGCTCGAATGGCGCGGACGCGCTCCGATTTCTTGACTAGAGGTACTTTTGCTGATGGGGAGGGGGATACAGAGGAAGATGATTACGATGACATTATTGAGCCCCTTCTCTCCCTTGACCAAGCCTCTCACTCTGAGCTAGAGTCTGTATCCAGCCTGGGTCAGGCCTCTCACAGTGACTCCGAAATGGTAATTTTACAGCAATATAAGAAAAATAGATAGCAAACAAATCTGATGGGAATAGTCTTTGCTAATCTAAAGCTAACCTTCACAGCTTCTTTCCACAAAATGGCTTGTACATGGGAAACCTCAGTGAACACCACGGCTAAAGCTAAATCTTTAAGTTTTAGGACTCAAATAAAGGGCACTTCAGCAGTTTGTCCAATCACACATCAGGTAAATTCAGGTCATTGAACATAGTGGTAGTGTAGAGCATGTCTATTATAGCTTAGAAAGTCAAGACTAGGGCTCTTCCTGACTGTGTAATGTAATCCTGTAACTTCCAACGAAAATGCTGTTTACTTTGGCTTCACTTTTTGTTGGGGGAGCAGGGAGTCTTTCAGGTTGTTCCTGTTCCCATTTTTTGGTAACATAAAATAAAACTGATTTTTAGAAAAGGTTTAGTGGAGCAGGGATTCAAACCCAGGCATTCCAGTGTGGCATACTGATGTTTTAAGACACATTTTTCTTTTTGAAGACTTTTTTTTTTTTTTTTTTGGAAAGGCAGATTACCAAGAAGGAGAGACAGAAAGATCTTCCATCTGCTGGTTCACTGCATGAGTTGAGCCGATTTGAAGCCAGGAGCCGTTAGTTTCTTTCAGGTCTCTCACATGGGGTTTAGGGTTCCAAGGCTTTGGGCCATTCTTTGCTGCTTTCCCAGGCCACAAGCAGGGAGTTACATGGGAAATGGAGCAGCCAGGACATGAACCGTTGCCCATATGGGATCCCGGTGCATGCAATGCAGGGACTTTTGCCACTGAGCCATCATGCTGGGTACCAAGTCACATGTTAAATATTTTGTGAAATACCCTGATTCACTTAAATTTTTATCATGGAGCTGTTTTGTAGTTTTTGAGTTATGTCAAAGGCTGAGTTGATGTGGTCAGTGTTGTAGCATGCAGGTGAAGCCACCATCTGCAGCACAGGCTTCCCATATTGGTGCTGGATTGAATCCTGGCTGCTCCAAGTCTGATCCAGCTCCCTGCTAATGAGCCTGGGAAAGCAGCAACTATGGCTCAAGTCTTCATGCTTCTCTTCCCATGTGGGAGACCCAGAAGAAGTGCCAGGCTCCTGGCTTTGGACTGTCCCAGCTCTGGCCGTTGCGGCCAGATGGGACGGTGAACCAGAGTTGGAAGTCTTCTCTGGGTGTACCTCTCCCTCTCTCCAACTGCCTTTCACATAAACAAATTTTAAAAAACTAAGTTAATATTAAAACTTCCCCTAATTTCCTGAATACTGCTACTATCTTTATGTTTTGTGAGAAGTATGATATTAATGACCCTATTGGTACTCTGTGAAGGAAAAAACAATCAACAGGCCTAGAACAATGCTGGGCAAGTTTTCTGGAGTCACTAACCAGATTAAAACTCTAGGACTTTAGAAATGGGAAACCACTGTGTATCTATAACTTAGAGCCACACTTGAAATGAGTCCATTTTGAAGGTGCCCTCTACTTGACTGATAATGAAATAAACCTTTTTGTGTGATTAGTGTGAAATAAAACAAGCTGGTTTTAGGGAAGGACATATGGTCGTGCTGTGTGTGGCTGCAGCCCTGTTCCTGAGGGTTCCCTCTGGACAACCTTGGTGTCTCGGTGGTAGGCTCTCCCTCACGTAAGCGGAAGTCGGGTCTTGTGCTGGGAGCACTCAGCCTCTGCTCACCTGCTTGACGGTCACTGCATGCTGTAGTCGTAGAGCTCCTCCCCTCTGCAGCCACCTGCCTGTGCCCCTGTTGTCGCTCACGCCTGAGGATAGGTGCTGGTGGTGGTTTCCAGTGGACACTCACGCGAAGCAGCTTTGCTTTCTAGAATATGCTGATAGAATCTTATTTGGGTTGGGGTTGGGGAGCGGAAAGAACCGTGTTAAAATGTGTTTCTCTGTTTATTTTGAAAATATGCCATGTTCTGACATTGTCTCATGCTGTGAAGATGAAAATGTATGTTTTTCTAAGTGGAACCTACTGTACCCTTAAAGTCCAAGTATGTTTTTGAGTTTAAAATGGATTTGACTTTCTGAGCACATGGAAATTTTAAAAATTTGATTTGTTGTTGGTATCAGGCTTTGTGTTTCCTGTCATTGATATTTGAATCTTTATTTTACTTCCCAGTTATAAACACAGTTAAGAATTACTTACCTGCAAGGATCTGATAAGTGTTAGAGGTGGTTAATTATCACTGGGTTGTCACCTTGCTGGGGAGAGCAGTTACGTGGGTGGTGCTGCTCCTGCCTGGTGACTTTGGTGTTTTCACTTACTACTTCAAGTTCTGCTCCTTGGATAAATGTCTAGTTCCTCTGGGCTGTCACCTGGTTCTTAAGAACGACATGTTCTTCTAGGCAGTAATTTTCAGATGATTTTCCTATAGTTTCTTAGACTCTCGTCTTGTAACTGTTAGGTAGATTGTGTCCCTGTTTGCAGGATCAGCTACTGTCGGTAGCTCTGTGGAAATAGTCCTGCTTGCTCCTGGCATGACAGCACCGGTTTTCTCATCTTCCCCCAAAGCCACATCACTGTTTCGCTGTTATTTTGAGCTGCTCTCCAGGCTTCACCTGTTCTTCACTGTCCTCCACAGAAACAGCCAGAAAAACCTGTTAATCAAGCAGAGTCATACAGCCAGAGAAAGCCTGTGTTGACCATGTCTTAGTAATATCCCCCGTGGTGGAAGCCAGGAGAGAACATGCAGTGTTAGTTCAGTGCTGCTTAGTCCAAGAGGCAGCCGGCACAGGAACCACACACTGAGTACTTAGTGCTTCTATGTGCATTTAATCCCTCCCCCCAGAGGCAGGAACAGTGGCAAGGCATTTTAACTTGCTATTTTTTGAAGGATATGGTAGAATTTCTTTATAAAATCATCTCAGATTGGTGCTTTTGCTGGCATGGTTCTTTGATACGTTTCTCTGTTCTTGGGAAATTCGTCTCTTTAAGCATTTTATTTAATGGCTCAGTTTTGTAAACAATATTTTGTTTAAAACTGACACTTTTATCTGATGTTTAAAAATTTTTTTGCCCAAAGTCTAGAATATAGTCACTTGATGATTTTTAATATTTTTCTTGAAATTATTTCACTTCAATTTTATAAAATTAGATTTATTTTTCTTTGTTAATTATTTCTCTGTTTTGCCAAGTTTTTCCAAAATACCAACATTTTAATTTTTACATTTATTTCCTCATATTCTGTTGATTTCTACTTTATTAGTAGCAAATAATAAATTAAAATTTTCTCTTATTAACAATAGTAAATCTTGTTCTTCAGCTTGCTTTCTTGTTTTTTTAGGTTTTGAATTAGAAATTTAGTTCACTTATTTTTATAGATGGAAGTTTTTTTTAATTTATTTAATTTTATTGTAAAGTTAGATGTACAGAGAGGAGAGAGGAAGATCTTCCATCTGATGATTCACTCCCCAAGTGCCTCAACGGCCAGAACTGAGCCAATTTGAAACCGGAAACTGGAATTCGAGCCTCTCCTGGGTCTCCCATGCGGGTACAGGGTCTCAAAACTTTGGGCTGTCCTCGACTGCTTTCCCAGGCCACAAACAGGGAGCTGGATGGGAAGCAAGGCCACTGGGATTAGAACTGGCACCCATATGGGACCCCAGTGTGCAAGGCGAGTTATTTTAGCTGCTAGGCTACGACTCTGGGTCCAGATGTAAGTTTTTAAGGCAGTGAATTATTGCTTTAGATTGCTTTAGATGTATCTGCTGAATTCTGATATGTAAGACTTTTATCACTTTGTTTTTTAGGTGATCTTTAATCTTACTCTGTCTCCCTTCTCCCCAATATATACATTTTTAAACTCAAGACTTGCTCAGTATTTTACAGTTTTCAGAGGAAGAGTCTTGTAAATTTTTTTGTTATATTCTTATTTTAGTATTATGTTTTCCTTTTATGGGTCCACATGGGGCGGGGTCGATAGTGGGGAGCTGGCAGCTCAGTCCTACTCTTCCCGTGTGGGTAACAGGTGCCTGCTACCTCCAAGAGTGTGTTTTATAAGGAGGCTGAAATTGGTAGGGGAGGCCGGATGCAAACTCCAGCATTCCCCGTGGTGGCTGAGCTGCTGTGCCACACAGCTGTTGCAGTAGGAGATATTTAATTCATTTTAAGAATAACTAATTTTTTTTTCCTTCTTGTTTTTGTTTGGGGTAGAGTATGTGGTTAACCTACTAAGGTGTTTTGACCTCATTTTGGTTGTCATTTGATACTCTCTTGCTTTGTTTCTTGTAGTGTGGTATAGATTTTTGTGTGTTTTAAGTTCCTCATTTTGTCTATTTGTGGTCATTCCGTACATGACCAGTTTGTTGACTGCTGTCACTATTTAAAAGAACAGTGTCTGGTGTCCCACTCTGCTGTGTCAGAAGTGATGGATGAACGTTGAATCCTCTGGTTTTTAGTATCTCTTCCTCCATGTCAGATTCTAAATTCCTACCTTCTGCTGTCTTTGCTTTTCACTGTCCAGTCTACAGAGGGCAGACACCCTTTGCTTCTTTTTCAGCCTGCTTCTGCTTCCAAAAGCAGTGCCTTCAAAACTACTGCATGTGCTTATAAAAATCCCTTCCCTCAAGTCCGTTCTTCAGACTCTTGGTAAACTTTGCTGTTTTCACACTGAACAAACCTTTGTGATTTTTAGAGCAGTTCCTAAGCCTACTGCTGGTTTTGTTCTTTTTTCTGGGACTGCCCTTGTCCTGTGCCAAGCTCCCAGTGGGGCTGTGGGGACTCATCAGGACTATCTGTAGTTTCTGACCTGTGAGTAATCTGATGTTGTTGTGCATTCCTCTTTTCTCCTTTCATTGTATGAGTGTATATTTCATGTTATTTTGCTTTATTTCTGGTTTTATCGTTTTCTTTTTCTTTTTTTTTTGGTAATATGTCACTATATTTGTGTTTTGGCAGCCTCCATTATTAGTTTCTTAATAATTAGAATACTTAGAATATTTCTAATCCATAACTTTTCCCTCTCCCTTTGTTGAGTTCAGATCATTTGTTAGTTGTTCCCCAAATTTCTGCATTTTGCTGATTATAATCCTATATTTTTTAATATGAAATTCCAATTTACAGGACGTACAGGCTCAGAGTCACTATAGAAAGAGTGTTTGAATCACATTGGGGTTTAATTTCTTGAGGAGAGTGGTGAATCTCTGCTGTTGGATCACATTAGCAGCCGCATTTCTGTTTTGCCGCGTCCTGGATTTATTAGTACTGTTTGTAGCCGAGGTACAATATGCAGAGCTTCAGTGTATGTTTTGATCGTTTTTGGCATATACAGTACAACTAGGTAACCTGCTATCCTGCTAAGATTTCTATGACTTGAAAACTCTCATGTTTCAACTTTCCTCTTCTGCTCTGACATCAGAAGCAACTGCCATTCTAGAACTTGTAATGAGTATAATTTGTTCAGTGGGAGGAAGAATTCTGAAATGATCCTACAAGATTGCTGGTCCTGCTGAAAGCCAGTTCCTCTTCAGAAATTCAAACATTGATCTGCACTGTGTTGTAAAGAGATTTTGCAGATGCAGTTAAAGTCTCCAATTAGCCAAGCTTAAGAATTGGGCATTGTCCCTATGCGCCTGCCCTAATCTCATCACATGACCCTAGAGCGACTTTTGCTCAGTTGATCAGGAGAGATCAGAGGCTTCTAGCATAGGAAAGATGCCAGGTGTCTTTGCGGATTTGAGGGTGTTCTTGGGCTCCTGAATCTTATCTGCAACAGCAAATCTGGTATTAGTCCCACATCTGTGTGTTTTCTTTTTGGTATCTTCCAGCGCTGCACTTAACCTTTTTGAACACATGGAATGCAGTTGCAATTACTGTTTTAGTGTTTTTCTAGTTCGGTAACATTTTCTGTTTTTGATTCAGTATGGTTTGATTCTCCTTCTCATTCCAGGTTTTATACTCTTGATTTTTGTGTATCTGATTATTTTCTATTTAAGTGCCTGATGCTCTGATTTTTACCTTGTTTGTTTGCAGGGCTTTCATTTGGACTTTATTTTCTAGCCCCGCTGCAGAGCTTTGTTCTGGAAGCAGTTTGATCTTGGGTTTTTCTTTCAGGATTGGTGTACTCAAGTAGTACTCAGTCTGGAACTAGTAATTTTATTATTATTATTATTATTATTATTATTTACTTGGAAGAGTTACAGAGAGAATGCTCCTGAATCTTCTGGTTCACTCCCAAATGGCTGCAGTAGCTGGAGCTGGGCCAGTACAAAGCCAGGATCACAGAGCTGCTTTGAGGTCTCCCACCTGGTTGCAGGGACCCAGGTATTTGGCCTCTGCTGTTTCTCAGGCACATTAGCAGGGAGCTGTGTCTGAAGTGAAGTAGCATGTGTGAGAATGAATGCCTTGTGGGATACCAGCACCACAGGAGGCAGCTCTATCCAACAGGCCAAAATGCTTATCCCAGACTGATTTTTCTTAACAGCTAAAGCCCAGAGCCCTGGCATCCTCTGACTCTCGGGCCCAGGCATTACTGCTGACCTTTAGTGAGTGATGGCACTATTACCTTTAATCCTTTTCTTGGTCCTTTCTCATGGTTATTAAAGAGGCAAGTGTTGATTAGTACTCAGCTAAGTACTCCTTTGGGACTAAGTGTAGATCTTCAGAGGTTTTTTTTTTGCTTTCATATGTCTCTCTTCCCCAGGACTGTCATTTGGTTTCTGTCACCTTGATCACTTCGGACTTTGAGCTTCATGTGTCCAACTTGGCCAGTCTGCTGAGGTTGGCCTGGGTTGGTGTCACAGCAGTAACTTGGGACAGGCACTTTTTTCAGGAATATTTATCCTTTGAAAACTGTTGTTTACTGTTATTTTGTCTGTTTTATTTGAGGCAAAAGGGTAAAGAATTCCCTAATTTTCCATCTTGGCCAGAAGCTGAAATCTGTTCTTTGAATTTTTACAACTCAGGAGATTGTTTCTGTTGAGGTTATATTCAAGCCGACCAAAAAGCTAAAGAAAAAATATAATACTAGAGAATTACTTGAATAGATTACAAGAAATTCTTTACTGAGGATATCTTTAGAGGAGCACTTTATAAGCAAATAGTATATGCATTGCTAGTTGTAGTGCAGGTCCTGGTTTAAAAGCCTTACATGTTGTGTGTAATTTGGGCTGTTAGTGATGGTAATGGTAATATTTCATTCTTTGAATCTTTTTTTATGTTGTATGTGTTCTAGCTCTTCTAAGTCCTTGACAGGATATAGTGAGAATCAATGGCAGCAAGTTAAGCCATAAGAGTAATTGCCACTTTGGGATAGAAAAAGCAGATGATACTCAGTGGTCCAAATTTTTGATACTGTATGTTTTGTTTGTGTCTTCAGCTGGTCTTGCCTTATTCTTGTTCTCTTACTTAAGGGCTATAACTTCTATTATTTCAGTGAATCTTGTATTTATCTGAATGCATTTTTGTACTTATAACAGCTATAATTCTCAAATGATTTCATAACTTGAGTTTTAATTACAGTGCTCTCATATATTTACTTTGTTTTAAAGTCTTTTATGTATGCAATCATTACAGACGTCACAGAGATTTTCTTCAACTGATGAACAAGCAAAGCTTCATAAGGCTATGTCCCAAGGAGAGATCACGAAGTTGGCAGTGAGACAGAAAGCTTCAGATTCAGATCTAAGGTATAAAGAGCACACAGAGTACGTTACAGTTGAATGCTGAGCCTCATTTGCTAAGTTGTTCTTTTTGAAGGAAATCAGTCCTGCTGATGATAGACACACATTGGTGCAGATCTGTATAATGAGATACATCCTATGTGAGGGCTGATAGTGTGATTGTGGAGAGCTTGAGTCATTATTTGACTTTTGTTGTAAAAGAAGCAGACCAGATTGAGATTGAAATATGTTCCTTGCTTCAGACTTGGATTGTAAGTATTTTAGAGGCACAACTGTAAAATATGTTTTAGAAATTATGTTTTCTTTAGAAGAGCTTGTGCAGTTTTTACTTTCACGTAAATTCCTGTATCCCTTGTTGTGCTAGCTAAGCATGTGTTCCATCCAATGAAAATTTGAAGAGTGTGCTGAAACCTTAGTGACTCATAAACCTGGACAAGTCCCCCTTTATGACTGATGCGTCATGACAGATGACCTAGCTGAAGGAGAATGAAGATACACCCAGATAGCAGATTCAATATCAACATCTAATTTCTACTACTACTCTCCAAGTTGATAATGTAACAGCATCTAAAAAAGAAATAAAAACAAATTGGGGACAATAAAGTAGGCTCTTGAAATACAAAGAGCAATTTGACTTTAAATTTTAAATGTTACAGTAAATGGGGGAAAGCCTGAGAGAAACCAGCTGGATAAAGTAGTCAGAGTGAGTGTTAGCAGTGCCCCGCTGTCTGCCTTTGCTCAGCTCCCACATTTCCCAAATGCTCAAAAGAATGGCTCAGAGAGTCTTTGTTACTTTTATGCAGCCCTTCAATAAAGACTTGAAGAAACCAACATTAGGGACTCTCTTTGAAAAATTGGCCAGCCAGGTAACCCTATAAAGAAGTCTTATAGGTTAGCAGTCCCACACTGACGTACTTTAGAGCTTCTAAGCACCTTTGGTGGGTTTGCCTTTAGTCAAAGTTGGATAACAGTTTCCCACATGCTGGGGAAATGCCTCATATTAAAAAAACCAAAGCTAACAGGAAGAAAACAATGTGAAAGCAATAAGCTATTTAGGCAATAGAAAACCTCAAGTGGAGGTTGTCAGTGGAGTTGCCTTATGAATATAACTGCATTCATAAAGCCAAACAGTGTACATGAAAGACAAAAAATCCTAATAAAAATGCCTTTGAAAGTTAAAACATAATAGCAGAGAACAGCTCAGAATAATGTAAAGGACAGTTAGGTGCATAATCTCAGGAAATTGAGCAAAGAGACGGAAGAGATAAGAAAACTTAGGAGGGTTAGTGCCTAGTGGTTGAGAGGTCTAAATAGAGCGTAGAAACTTGGGAGGAGCAAATGGGTTATAAAGTAAATCAGCTGAATTTCATGGAACTGAAGACCTGAGTTTCTATGTTGAATTGGCTTACTGATCACCCAATATAATGCTGAAAGGCAACCTAACTTGAAAGACAAATCATTGTAGAACCAAAGAGAGCAAAGGCTGCCCGTGATGGTGGTGAAGCCTCTGGATTGGAGCAGGTTCCCAGGGTCCTGGGAGAGCTCGAGGAGCTGGACCTGAGTGAGCACCTGCTGTGAGCACGGAGAGAGGAGAGAGACAGATGGAAGCACCGGAGATGAATGGTGTGCGAAGTGAGCCAATGGAAAAACTCTAGCATAAGACAGTACATAGAGAGTTACATACTTCAGCTGTGATTATTACTCACACAATAATAAAACTACAGATTCCTATTTGTAAATAAAATGACAGTGTTGTCCTCCTGGGGCTGTGTGTTTTTGGTGAGGGTAGAACAGGAGGGTGAAGCATGCTTGATTTTTGTGTGTGGTCACAAGCAGGAGAGCACCACACGAATGTCGAATATCAGAATGGTCAGGGAAGTGAGTTTCCAGGGAGCAGAACATGCAGTGATGCCGTTATTGTAGAGAAGCCTTAAAGAACAGTTTCTCATTACAACGAATGCATTTTAAAACAGAAGCAAACAATTAAAAGGTAAATGAACTTGGGGTACAGAATCAGCCATATCTGAGCCTTGCTTTCCGAGCCTCAGTTTGTCCATGTGTGAAGTAGGGTAATGATAGCTATTTGAGGATAATTACATATTAAAAAGTGGCTGACACCTAGTAGATGCCAGAGTAATTTTTGACTGAATCAATGAACCTACAAATGAACAAATCAATACACAAACCTGCTAGTACAGAGTTAGCATACACAGTGTATGGCCAGTAATGTCAACTGGTATCATTGTACTTCCTGGTTGTTGTATTTCCTCAGTTTCTACAGTGAAATAGCATGTAAGCTGTACTAGGTGTATACAGAGAGACTTTGTCACTTCTGGGTATGTAACCTTGAGAAAGTTACCTAATGCTAAAGTCTCTCGTTTTTCACTTGTAATATATTCATGTTAGTTTGTTAAAAGTGTTTATGATTAAATAAAATGGCACTTAGCAGTGCATGTCAAATAAAACAAGGCTTCAAATAAGAAATGGCTATTGTTAGTTAATAATATTGGTAACTCATGAATATGAAATAGTGACATGTAAACTTTCATTGCATAATAGTCAGTGGAAAGGTTTAGAATTTATCTGTGTTATGATTACAGTGATAGAAAAATCAGATTTCAGAAGATAGTTTCCACAATATATGAACTAATGTTTTTCAGAATAGGATTATCCATGATTTCTTAAATCCAATCTGGATGGGACAAAAATGGAAAGGTAGCAGTTTATAAATCATATAACCTGAATTGGAATCCTAATTCTGCTGCTTTATAGCTGTCTTATATTAGGGACCTATTTTCGCTTCCTCTTGGGTCTTAGTATTTCTATGTTCAAGATAAGGAAACTGTCTACCTACAAGGTGGAGTTTTAACTGTGAACCTGAAAATTTGGTTGAAATGTGAAAAAGGAGCTCATATATACTGAAGATAGATAAGTTTGAAATGATATACACATATTATTGCTGGGACAAACTGATTTCCATTTTTACTTTTATGTTTTGGAACAGACCTCAGAGAGCTAGGATGCGATTCTGGGCCAAAGGGAAGCCGGGGGAGAGAAAGACTGCCCGAGTGAAGCCTGCCCCACAGTCGGATGTCTCCACACACTTGGGTGCAGACGGTAGGAACGGGCCGGGGTATTGCTGTCCTTGTCTCTGCTTCTTTCTTCTGAAAGTCTGCTCTTCTCCAGGCCTCATGACTAGATTTTTGTATGAGGGCTGACCAGGATTGCCATCTCTTTGCTTAACTAAAAATGGTTACATTTTACCCATACTAGAAATTCTAACAAAATATGGCATACAATGGAGAATCCTGGCCTTCTTTCATTGACTTCACAGACTAATAACAGTAACTGATATTTGAATGTGGCACTGTACTGAACTACTGTATCAACTCCTTTGCCCCACACGGCAGTTGTCTTGATGCGTAGTGTAAGGGTTAGAGAACTAAGGCCCAGAGGCGTTGTGTGTTCATACACATGTGATGACTGGGAGAGCGGCAGCTAGGTTCTTATTCCACATACCTACCCACCGTGCAGGGGATTACCTGGTGTTTCACAATAAAGGGTTATTTTAACTTTTCGGGTGTGATTCATAACTATTTAAGTACCCTGTTTTAAAGTTAGTCCATTCTGTTAAGAAAACAGACCTTTCTATTTTATAAATATTTTATAAATATATATATATATACATATATTTTAAAGACTTATTTATTTATTGGAAAGTCAGATATACAGAAAGGAGGAGAGACAGAGAGGAAGATCCTCCGTCTGATGATTCACTCCCCAAGTGAGTGCAACGGCCGATGCTATGCCGATCTGAAGCCAGGATCAAGGAACTTCTTCCGGATATCCCACAGGGGTGCAGGGTCCCAAAGATTTGGGCCATCCTCAACTGCTTTCCCAGGCCACAAGCAGGGAGCTGGATGGGAAGTGGGTCTACTGGGATTAGAACCTGTGCCCATATGGGATCCCGGCACATTCAAGGCGAGACTTTAGCTGCTAGGCCACAGTGCTGGGCCCAAACTGACCTTTCTAAATGCTCGGGACTATTAATTCTCCAAGGATTTCATTAATCTGAATTGTAAAGGCTATCTCTTATTTCCAGCCCTTCCCTCACCCATGCTTGACATGTGTAGCATGACATAAAGGTGAGAACTGTCTTCAGTAAGATGGGCCTCAAGCGGCCATGTGGTAGTAAGTGAATAATGTCCCAGTGTTAACTAGAATAGGATGAGGTCCCAGGAGGGAAGCTGCTGTTTCTTAGGGAAGGATGGTTAAGTTAGTAAGGAAAAACTGCCTGCATCGGGGAGAAGCTGAAGGAGGGACTGTGTGGGTAGGTACCAGGGCTGCAGCAGGAGCCTCTGTCAGCACTGCAGGCCACAGGCTGTCATGGGAGGGGTGCATCTAGACCCCGGTTTACGCCTTGGGAACCGACACACTGAGGAGGAAAACCATCATAGAATTCCTCCCTGTTGCCTTAACTAAGATGATCCGGTTTATTTTTAATTGACTGATCATTCAGAATTTTTCATTTTATACAGTGCTTCACTGCTAATTCTTAAGAACTGGAAGTTCTTTAGTTGAAAACCTATGAGCAGACTTTATTGATAAGGATTCATATGCAATTGGATTATAGTTGTTTTTAAACTTACATTTATGTAAAAACTTATTAAGGTAATTATTTGGTTATAGTCTTACTTCCTTTCCCCCTTCCTTCCTCCCTCCCATCCTTTTTTTTCTTCCTTCCCTTCTTCATTCCTTTTTAAAACTTATTTTTGTTGGGAAGGCAGATTTACAGAGAGATAGAATGGTTCATTCCCAAACAACTCCAACAGCCTAAGCTGAGCGATCCAGACCTAGGAGCAAGGAACTTCTTCCAGGTCTCCCACATGGATATAGGAACTCAAGGCTTTGGGCCGTTGTCTACTTCTTTCCCAGGCCATAAGCAGGAAACTAGGTTGGAAGTGGAGCAGTTAGGACACACACTGGTGCCCATATGGGATCCCAGCACTTGACGGGGGAGAATTAGCCAACTGAGCCATTGCTCCAAGCCCAAGAGAATTTCTTGAGTAACATTTATTATAAAATACTGACTTTGTCAGATGCAGTAATTGCATCTTTATAAATAAAGCTAAACAATGACATTAAAATCGGCTGATAATGATGTGACTGTGTATCCTGTGTCTTTATATTCTCTGTTCTGTTTTTTTTTTTTTTCTTAGAGTTTGTCTCAAGAGTGCACTGTTGGCTGGTATTGGTATATACGCTAAGAAAGGACAAGGGGCAGGCATGTAGGGGAGACAAGCATAAGCTATCTCCCTCTTCAAGTTCCAGGTGGGGCTCTGGCAAATCTCTTTCTAGATAGCACCAAGCTACATGGAATTTAATTTCTCTAGTGTAGAATGCAGAAAAAAAGAAAAGTTGCACTCCTCAGCTGTATACACAGGTAGTTCTTTCCAGGAATACTGTGAAGATTTCGAACTGCTCTTTGAGGGAACTATAAAGAAAATACTGAAGAAAACCAAGCAGAAATAAGCCAGTTTGGTCATCTGACTTCGTAACAGGCTGCCAGAATATCACATGATATTACTGAAATATTCATGACTGCAAACTTTAGTAAAAGAATAATAATCTAGGGCCCAGCGCAGTGGCCTAGTGGCTAAAGTCTTCGCCTTGAACGTGCCGGGATCCCGTATGGACACTGGTTCTAATCCCAGTGGCTCCACTTCCCATCCAGCTCTCTGCCTGTGGCCTGGGAAATCAGTTGAGGACAGCCCAAAGCTTTGGGACCCTGCACCCATGTGGGATACTTGGAAGAAGTTCCTGGACCCTGACTTCAGATCGGCATAGCATCGGCCGTTGCACTCACTTGGGGAGTGAATCATTGGACGGAGGATCTTCTTCTCTTTCTCTCCTCCTCTCTGTATATCTGACTTTCCAATAAATAAATAAATCTTTTTTTAAAAAAAGAATAATAATCTGCATCGAACTCCACTGAGTTTTTGGAGTTACATTTGTCTAGGCGTTCTTTCCAGCAGGCGTATAGCAATGCTGTGACAGCATTCGCACCCAGCAGTACTTGTGCCAGTGTGGTTGCATAGTCTCATTTCTCTGAGAGTGGGGGCTTCAGTGTGTAGGTTGAGGTTCTGCTTCTACAAGGGACTACCATCCAGGCTTGCAGTATCATGCCTGAGCTCCTTGGGAGATGTGGCAATGTACGTTGTTGAAGAGTGGTAATTATGAAGTATGCTTGTCTACAAACACGCTGCCTACCTGCCTGACTGCAGGCAGTAACCTTAGCTTGCTTTTCAGATGTTTGTATGTTTCTTTCAGTATATATTCCTTCACCAGAGGAACCTTGAAACAGGAATGTAGAAATTATCAGTGTCTTTACTGAATATATTGTCTTGGGTACTCTCTCTTGCTTTAGAATTACCTCAGCATCATACAGCACCTCCTTTGAGCCCAGAACTGCCTGGTAGTTCCCACAAGGAGTTCAAAGAAAACAAAGAACCTTCTCCAAAGGCCAAACGCAAGCGAAGTGTGAAGATCAGCAGTGTGGCTTTGGATTCTGTGCATTGGCAAAATGACTGTGTCCAGATCATAGCAAGTACCAGTGATTTAAAAAGCATGGATGAGTTTCTTCTCAAAAAGGTATGCTTTGCTTGCTGAGCCGAGTCTCTGAAGAGCTTTGAGGATTCTATATGTGTGTGCTCCCTAGTGATCAAGGTTAAGACATGCAAGAACGAGGGTCTGTTCCTTACTAGAAAGAGCCAGAAATGGGAGCAGAAATAGGGAAAAACACAGATTGAGCAGCCAAGATTTCAGAGTTTAGGCTTTCTTGTTGACTTCTGTTTTACTGTATGTAGCTCTATGTGCTGTGTGTGATGAGATGTGTGGCACATTATCGAGGCTGTTCCGCTGACAGCTACAGAATTGTGCAGCTGAAGACACCCCAGTCTTAATAGCTTGGCTGTCTAGTTACACTCTCACCCAAGTCCCACAGCAGTCCATGGCTTGTTTTTTGAGGACACTCGTTAATTGAGGGAATGTAAGCATCCACTTTGATTGTGTCCAAAAACACTTTCTGCCATCTCCAGATGAATGACTTAGAGAATGAAGACAGCAAGAAGGACACACTGGTGGATGTGGTATTTAAAAAGGCCCTGAAAGAATTCCGACAGAATATTTTCAGCTTTTATTCATCTGCATTGGCGGTAAGTCGGACTGTGTTAGGACATACTCAGTAATTCGGTGTATGGAAAATAAGACACTGTTGTGGAAGTTACAGCACAAAGGACGTGTTCGGCTAGAGAGTGCTCTGGTTTTTGTTTTGGGAATAGCAGAGGAAAGGCACATAGAAAGGCCTCAGATTAATAACTTCCTCAGGTTTCCTTGAGTTAGTTTTCCTCACCTTACAAGTATTTTTCACATCCTGCAATATTGATTTCAGATATTCTGGATAAAGTTTTGTTTCAACCAGTGGCTCTCTAGGGTTTTTTCTTGTCATAATCCTTTTAAGCTCTGTTGCTAAGGTGTAACTTCCACATTTCCTATGTGTGGAACTTAATATGCAGGATTTTTTTCTCTGCTTGTAGAATTACGGCAGTTTTGTATCAGTGATTTCTGCATATCAGTTTGTATCAGTCAGATTTATTTTATACTTTCACAGGATACTAGTTTTAGAAAAATTGTTTTTGGTGTATATAATAACTGGTACAGTAATTTGGTGTATCTTAATTTCGGAATGTAATAATTGATCCTTTGACCAATTATCCTTTGATCAGTTCCTTTGAGTAATTACTGGTATTTATGAATTGTTATATTATGTAAAACAATAGTTCATGTTTTTCTTGTCTTTTTTTGTTTCATAGTGGAAAGAGAAATCACGAGCATTTTTAGTGTATACTCTAAGTAGTAAAAACTTGTAACTTTCTCTGGGCATGACCTTTTCATCTATTTAGAGATGGGAGAAAGTAGTAGTCTTGCCACTCCAGGGTTTATGGCAGATTCCTAGGTGTGAGTAGGGATAGTCTGCCCATCAGTTCCTAATCCTGACTTGCAACTTCTCATTCTCCTTGTGTGCTGAGCCCCTGTTTAGGGTGCTGGGTGCTCTAGTTCACATGGGGAGGGACCGCACTGTGAAGCAAGGCTCCAGGTTGGTTTGCTAACTTTGGGTCACAAAATTGCACCCTCTAAATCTGAAGCAGGAAATAAATTCTAAATGTTTATTATATTTTTTTATCACTTAAAAGTCATTTTTCCTTCTTAAAATGCTCCAGATCTCATTTAAATAAACTTTAAAAACTCCATTTAAATTCTTCTGTAAGTAATATGATTGAGTGTGTTACTCTGGAAAAAATAAAGAAAGGGTTTTGGATGTGTTGTAAGGCAGAGTTTCAGCTATTCATGTTCAGAGAAAAACTGTTTAAGTTTTTGGGGGAGTAGATTAATATTTAAGAGGGATGCGAGTCATCTTTAGTGTCATATAAAGTCAATACTGCATACCTGCAGGAGGAGTTTCCAGCATTTACTGAAACAGTTACAGGCCTTAGTTACTAGGTGTTCACTGAAACCTGGCAGGTTTTGTTTTTGCACTAGAGTGGGGCTTTATAACATGGGCACGCTTGCTGGAAAGCAAAGCTAGATCCTAACCTTGTTTCCAAATATTACCAACACACAGCAGATCCGTCTCCTGCACGTAAAGAGGTCTTGATAAAACTTTTCCTTTTTTTCTCTTACTGTTCACTTAGATGGATGATGGGAAAAGCATACGGTATAAAGACCTGTACGCCCTGTTTGAGCAAATTCTGGAAAAGACCATGAGGCTTGAGCAGCGTGACTGGAGCGAATCTCCAGTGAGAGTTTGGGTCAACACTTTTAAAGTGTTTTTAGATGAATATATGAACGAATTCAAGACTTCGGATTGCATAGCCATAAAGGTAAAGTTAATATATTTTGCATGAATATTTTAAAGGATCTGTTTGGGACATCTAGTTTTTGACAAAGTGTCAGTGTTAACACATAAGCTTAGCTCTCCTTCAGGTCCTCCAGACTCCGTTCTGTTTTGTAAGTTTATCAGATCATATTTCCTAAAGCCTCAGCAGTGAATACATTCTCCATCAAATTAAATATGATACTGTGCCCTCGACACTGCCCTTTGAATTTTAATGCAAATCAGCACCTTTGTTGTATCGTTTGGTGACTTTTATATAAGGATTGTATTTCTACAGATTGTATTTCTTTTTGAGATAGTTTTTGGGAAAATATATACTTTGAGAAACATATACTGTAATACACAGCTGTTAAGTTTCAGGCCTGTTTGGGAATGTTACTTGTTACTTACTTCAGTCCTGTTGAATGACTGTTCAGAAAGCCACATTGTAGAAGAGACCGCAGACTTAGAGGTCCTGAATGGGTTTATTTGCAGCATTTTAGATGCAATGATTAGGTACCTGTTTCTCTCAGGAATGTCATCAGTTCTTTGTATTGGTTATCTTGCATTTTATTGTTATTCTAGTTTCAATCTTTTTATGTTTACAAACCATTATAGATCAGTGTGAAGATCATCCTTGACGGGTCTGTGTTACAGCTAAGCTGAAGTCTTTATTTTATACAGAAAAGGATTCTTACTAGGCACGTACAATGCCTGTTTATCAGTTTTAAAGAGTAGGTTTAGATGGTTCCATCTTTTAGTCATCAGGAAATATCGTGTATAACAGCTTTTCCATATCCCAAATCACATCTTTTGTATTTACCCCTGTGCTAGTTTTCTACAGCCAAAATGTGAGAGATAAAAATATTTAAAATGGAAGATCATTTAATTAATGGTTAAAATAAAATGGTCATTTTAATTAGTATGGTGTGCTTTGGGGTCAGAACTAACGTTCAAAAAATCATCATTAAGGTGTCCATCCTTCTATTCTGTTGATTTTATTAGCATTGTGTTTTAGCAAATATAAACATTTTCTCATATTGCTTGTTCTCTGTATACATTTCTTCTTAAAGAATAACTGGTTGAGCCAATAATTCAACACATCTAATAAGTAAAATATCATTATTGGTCTTATCGCAATTTTGTTTTATTATTCCCCACACTCCGTTAGGTACCGAAAACAGAAAGAAAGAAAAGAAGGAAAAAAGAAACTGATTTGGTAAGTTGTATTCTGCCTTTCATAGTGTAAGAAAGCAGTTTTTAGCTTGGTGGCTTGTAGTACATCCCGCATTATTTCTGTGGATATATCTAAGGAATGGGTTTAATCAGATGCCTAAAAGATACTCACTTCTTACTTTCCAAAATTGAGAACAACAAATGTGTCTTGAATTTGATGCTTGGGGCTGCTCTCAGTGCTGGCTCCAGAAATGGTTTTCTGCAGGTCATGTGTCTGCTGTTCCTCTTAGTCCAGATTGGGAGAACCACAAAGAACATTTTCCTTCCCTTGTAAAGAAAACTGGAGGTATTCACTGTTTTACAGATACAGGTACTTAGAATTCAAGATAATTCCAGAGGCATTTGGACATGTTGTTTATATTTTCTGTTTCATATTGTCTATCTCTGTTACAGGGTTTCTGATCATTTCTGTAGTTCCAAAAATGAATTTAAGGGAACACATAATTTGCTAGTGGAGATAGGAATTTCAAAATTTAATACTATCAAATATGGTGTATATTAGAGTAGAAATAGAAAGTACTGTTGAAAAGATGGAAAAGGGGGTAAAAACTATGATTTACAGGTCCAGCATGGTACTCATGGCAAAAATCCTCACCTTGCATGTACCAGAATCCCACATGGGCACTGCTTCTAATCCTGGCGGCCCCGGTTCCCATCCAGCTCCCTGCGTGTGCCTTGGGAAAGCAGTTGAGGACGGCCCAAAGCCTTGGGACCCTGCACTCGCATGGGAGACCTGGAGGAAGCTTCAGGCTCTTGACTTTGGATTGGCTCAGCTCTGGCTGTTGCAGCTACTTGGGGAGTGAATCATCAGACGGAAGACCTTCCTCTCTGTCTCTCCTCTGTATAACTGACTTTCCGATAAAAACAGATAAATCTTTTTTTTAAAGATTTATTTTTATTATTTTTTTATTGGAAAGGCGGATGTACAGAGAGGAGAGACAGAGAGGAAGATCTTCCGTCCGATGATTCAATCCCCAAGTGAGCCGCCAGGGTCGATACTATGCTGATCCGAAGCCAGGAGCCTCTTCCGGGTCTCCCACGCGGGTGCAGGGTCCCAAAGCTTTGGGCCGTCCTCGACTAAATCTTTAAAGAAAAACAAACAAAAAAAACTAAGCTTTATGAAAGGATTTTTGCTGAGTAGTCATTGACAGGCAGTGTCTAGCCGGCAGATGTTGATGTGAGTGAAGAACCTGGGATGTGGAGACCACAGCTTGCGTTGGTTCGTGTATTGAGTCAGTGGAGAAGGTAGATGTGTGTTGGTTCTGCTTTGTGTCTATCCTGTAGCTGACCATCTCACATCACTACCTCACAGAAGTTACACTATGTGTAGTCCCCTAACTGATCTCTCTTCGGCTGACTTCTTACAAACGCAAACCTCCTTCGCTTAGTCTGAACTCACCTGAAGGAGTGGAAAAGTGGGGCACAGCTGTTAAGCTGTGGCTTGGGAACTCTACGTCCTATGTTGGAGTGCTCAGGTATGGCTTGGTGTAAAACCAATGTAGATAAACCATAAGCTGAAAGTTTTAAAATTTAGTTAGTTGAGTGCTAATTTGTTCAGGAAAATCATTAATTTTTAAAAATTTAATTTGTTGGGCCCGGCATGGTGGCGCAAGTGGTTAAGGTCCTCGCCTTGCACGCCCGGGATCCCATATGGGCGCCGGTTCTGTCCCAGCAGCCCCGCTTCCCTTCCAGCTCCTTGCCTGTGGCCCGGGAAAGCAGTCGAGGACGGCCCAAAGCTTTGGGACCCTGCCCCTGTGTGGGAGACCTGGAAGAGGCTCCTGGCTTCGAGTCGGCATAGCACCGGCCGTTGTGGTCACTTGGGGAGTGAATCATTGGACGGAAGATCTTCCTCTCTCTCTCTCCTCTCTATATATCCACCTTTCCAATAAAAAAATAATAAAAATAAATCTTAAAAAATTTAATTTGTTAGTTTTCCTGACTTTTTAGAGATTTATTTATTACCATTCGAAAGGCAGATTCACAGAGAGAAAGAGAGACAAAGAAGGATCTTCTATCTGCTGGCTCACTCCCCCAGTAGCCACTACTGCTCGAGCTGACCTGCTCTGAAGCCAGGAGTTTCCTCCGGGTCTCCCACATGGTACTTTCCTACCATGTAGTTTGACATGGGCAGTGCTGGCAATCAGAAGGTGTAGCATTTTTGATCTAGCTCAGTTTTGTTGACATAATCTTTTAAATTTTTAACTGATTTTTCTCAGTTGAAAAAAATCATACAAATATAATTCAAAATCATGTTCTTTTACCATCTTTCTCTTCTGTTATCAGGTTATTTTCTTTCTTTTTTTTAAATCTTATTTCAGAACATCAATCTTTTCCTCAAAACGTGTATGTGTTTTCAGGAATATATGTTTTCCTACTTTTTTTTTCTAGAAATTCTATCATTATTTACTTTGATTATAGTGTATTTATTATATAAAATTTAATTCCGAATTTTTTCCTTTATGCTACTGGGATTTCTATCTTTAAAAAAATTATTATATAGGGCCCGGCGCGATAGCATAGTGGTTAAAGTCCTCACCTTGAATGCTCCAAGATCCTGTATGGGCATCGGTTCTAATCCCGGCGGCCCTGCTTCCCATCCAGCTCCCTGCTTGTGGCCTGGGAAAGCAGTTGAGGACGGCCCAAACCCTTGGGACCCTTCACCCGCATGGGAGACATGGAAGAGGCTCCTGGCTCCTGGCTTTGGGTTGGCTCAACTGCAGCCGTTGTGTTGACTCGGGGAGTGAACCATTGGACAGAAAGTCTCCCTCTCTGTATATCTACCTTTCCAATAAAAAAATAAATACATCTTTAAAAAATTATTATATAATTACTACATATATTTTTTTTCTCTTCCTTTTTTTCCTATGTTACTTCTTTTGCTTTCTCTTTTAAAGATTTACTTATTTGTATTGTGAAGTCAGACACACAGAGGAAGAGAGACAGAGAGACAGATCTTCCATTTGCTGATTTCCTCCCCAGGTGGCTGCAACTGCTGGAGTTGAGTCAATCCCAGGCCAGGAGCCAGAGCTTCTTCTGGTCTCCTTCGTGGGTGCAGGGTCCCAAGGCCTTGGACCATCCTCAGCTAGATCATCAGATTGCTCTAATCTGCCATTAAAAACAGTGCTTAGGGCTAGTGTTACTGCACAGTGGGTAAAGCCTGAGACTCTGGCGTCCCACTTGGATGCTGCTTTATAACCTGACAGTTCCACCGTCTCTGTCTGCTCCTTGCTACTGTACCTGGGAAAACAGCAGTGAAGGCCCAAGTACCTGTCCCTGCCACCCATGTGGGAGACAGTGCAGCACCTGGCTCTTGGCTTCATCCTGGCCCCAGCCTTAGCTATTGCAGCCATTTCAGGAGTAACCCAGCAGATGAAGAGAGAGAGAGAGAGAATGAGAATGTTTGCCTGCTTTCACATACATAAATCTTAGAGAAAATAAGGCAGTGTTTATTAGATAAATGTTATGTGATACAGCACTAGAATTGGAATTATTGGGTCATGAGCATAAATGTAGTTGTGTTTCAGCAAATGCTACTTCATCTCCTTATAATAGTAGAGATAGTCTTGATTTTACTTTGCATTACTAATATGTGAAAATGCCTGCCAGTTACTTAGAGTGGGTTGTTAGATACTATGTTTGTTAGTCTAACGATTGGGAAGTGTTGTATTGCATGTAGTTTTACCTCTTTTTATGCTTAAGGCCCTTTTGCCCCTCCCCTCAGGGGTCTATTGGTCCGTGTTTCTGTTGAAGATGTGGTCTTTTCCTTCTGAATTTCTAGGGAGGATGCCCTTTGTGACATAAATTTCAAGTATGTTTTCCTTGTTTTTCATTTCATAGGGTATTATCTTCCAGGTAGAAATTGTTTTATTTTTATGAAGTTAAATGTGCCAGTCTTATAACTTCAGAGTTTCAAGTTGGATATAACTGTATGTAACGTGATTATAAAGGAATTCTGTTGTTCTTTGAATACTTTCATGGTCATGTTTGTTACATTTAAATTCTGATCTTCTTGATGTTGTCCAGGTATGCAATGTAAGGTGTAAATCTCTTACATACATGGCTATCAACATCATTTATGTGAAAGTCCATCTTTACCTGTCTAGTTTGAGATATTTTGCCTTTTATATTCTGAATTCCCCTTGATGCTGATCCTTTTATTCTGTCCTTTTGAGTATTCATGAGCCAGTTCCAACTGTTTTATTGCTTAAATACTTCATTCGGTTTTATGGTCAAACAATATTCTATTTTGTAGGTTTATCATATTTTACTTATTCATTCAGAAGTGGGATTTTTTTCTTGATAAAAGCCATTTCTATATTTAATACATCATTAATGGATTATGCAAAATTATCAGCTTTAAAATTAGCTTACTGTAAATGTATTGAATTTCGAGTCGCCTTGGCACTGTTAGACCAAATGATTCTGCAGTGCTTATGGCCTGCAGGTTAGACATTCTCCCATCTCTGCTAGTTGGAAGACATTTAAGCTGTTAAGACTTTTTGTGAATTGTGGATTAGGCTGTTCTGAAAAATTTTTCCTTTCTCTCTTTTTTTTGATGTTTACATAGTTGATCAGGGTGGGAAAGATCGAAGATTAGGGGAAAGTGGGTAAGACTGTTGTTTCCAATGTTTTTTTTTTCTTCTTGTATCTGGAGGAAGGAGGGAGACAGCGGAGAAGCCACACCTAGCATCCTAACTGTGTCAGTACCTGGGAATGGGGATTGGCCACCCGATTAGGGTTCCTGATGTGGAGTGTGCTCTGAGACTTCTGCTTAAGTGGTTTCTGTAACTCTGAAATGCTGTTGATCTTGCCGATCCAAGAAACAGGAGATCATTCTAAGGTCCAGTGGCCGACATAGTCCACTCCGGAGTCTCCATTTGCCCAGATATCTGCTGTCATTGCATGACTGGGGTAGTTGTCCAACTTGTTCTGTTCTCCTTCCTCTGTTATGACACCAGATATCCACTGCAGACCCCAAAGGGC